CACCTCGCAAGGCTGTCAGGCGTATAGTACCAGTGGAATAACGCTTTATAAGAATTTTCAACTGCCAGCACATTACGAGAGCAACGGGTGGTAGACCCGCATATAGCTTGCCAGTCCTCCGGAGTCAGGGACCTACCCAATTCCTCCTGCCATCTATGCTGATAGGTAGTGAAAGGGAGGGAGGAAGAAGATAGTAAAGAGGAATAGATTAAAGAAATTAGATCAGATGTATGCAGGTTAGAGCGACAACGCTCAAACGGGGTCAACATCATGGGGGAGGAGTCATCTTTCAACAAAGATCTAAGGGGTGAGTAGAAGCGTGATTGTCGTAAAGCCACGGCGTACCCACCAAGAGAACGCCTGTGGGTCAAGGATACCAGGAGGTAAAAAATAAAAAAAAGAGGACAACGGACCAAGCTAAGCAAAGGTAGGTGTGAAGAGATCAAATTCTCTGAGTATTTCACACTATACAATATTTTTAAGGAAGCACTTCCTGTTTCTAGACACTCGTGGTCTGTAGCATTGTCGCTGTGTATCTGAAGTGTGAGATCTAAGACACTGCTGCCTCTGTTAGTCTCACAAGATCTGGAGTGAGAAGTACCAAGATGGCCACCTCCACCCAAAGACACAGTGCAGAACAAAGCATGGTAAGTCAGTTATCGGGGGAAAGATCACCTGCAAAGAGCCTGTAGGCAATACTAATGACTTTGCCCTCCACAGCACTAACAGTTCAGGTCCTCTTTAAGGGTTACTAAGTAGCCATCGGAATAGGGTAGATACTTAAGTAAACATGTTGGCTTTTGGCTACAAATAAGATTCAACAGGGAGAAGATAGAGGCTATATTTTCTATTTTATGAACTCTTATGTACTGTACCTAGTTAATACATATGCACAGAATAAAATGCTACATTTACAAGTCAGACTTTTCTTTAAATGTTCTAGTTCTTTAATGTAAACCTGAGCTTTTTCTATGCAAGTGGAAGCAAAAAGTTTGATTTACTATATCCATCCACAGCAGCCCATACCTCAGCTTTAACCTTCTAGAGGGGTTTACCCAGAAAAAACAAATTGTAGCTTGCACCAGCAGACGCTTGACATTTTAAATAAGCAAGCATGGTTTTGTGGACCAAAAACAACTTTTCATGACTAAAAATAAATGTAGTTTGATTTTTGTTGCAAAACAAGATTTTAAATGGGAAGCATAGTGCGGCATCATGAGGACAACAGTGTTTTGTGGCAGCACTGATCGGCCTCTGCAGAAAGCAGATGTGATCGCAATATGTTCACTCCTCAGACAGATGGCATCACGCATAGGATTAGCAGGCACATGGCGCTTTAAAATGTCAGTCAGTTAAGTTAAATGATGGTCTCATTTCCACATTTGTTGCCTACTATGGATAGAACACATTACGCTAAAAGCTGCAACAATAAACGCACAGAAAAATCTGAAATTGGCTTTACAGAGACAAAGATAATAAAAAGAAAAATGATTGAACCAATTTAGACTATATGGAAAAGACCAACTTAACATGCTCAGCTTTTTCCATAGTAACAGCAGGTCTCTCCGTCTTGCTTCGAATTGTATTGTAACTGTCCCTTTATTATGTAAAGTGCTGCACAAAATGTTGTTATACAAGTCCTGTATAAAGGCCTGGTTCACACCTGAACTTTTTGTAGCGCGTTCTACGCTCGACGAACGCTCTACAAAACGCTCAAACATCTAAATCCCATTGTATTCAATGGGTCTGGTTCACACCTTGGCGTATTTCAGCCCGTCCCTAACGCGCTACAAAACGGCCCACGCCTGAAAAGGTACAGGTACTACTTTTGGCCGTTTTTGTTGTGCGTTTCCATTGGGATACAGCCAAGTAGCACTCGGAAACACGCGTTTGTCACGTGATTTTTTGATCGCGGTAAAAAAACGCGCGACAGACGCGCATATGCAATACGCCTAGGTGTGAACCAGGCCTTAGGCTTTGACGAGAGAATCAATAGTTCTCTCCTCCTATTGCGTGCAGAAACCAAAGATGTGAGTTTTGGTCAAGGTTTCAGCCTACATCCCTGTTAATGTCTATGATCATAAACTGGAATAACAATGGAAAGAAATAAGCCCACCAACACACGTAGCTTATGCTGACGCCAAGTCTATAAGCCGCGTTTTCAAAAATGTAAATCGTCCTGTGTGTTTTTTTAATATCCTTTATTAGCTGAAAACCATTATCAGTGTTCCATTGCAATGGGTTAGATCAGGTGGTAGAGAAAGATCTTTCTTGCGAACTTTTGTTCGGAAATCTACTAGTGCATGGTCGTCTTTAATTTGGTTCTTAAGGTCCTAGATTCAGGACAAAGCCATGCCCTCTGTATTTCTGTCCAATGAGAAGCTTTTATGCCAGAAGAATCCTTAGGACCATGTCATATAGGCAGCTCTTAAAAGAAACAAGATGTCACCAACACATGGCAGGAGTGTGTCCCAATGAACTTCTTTTTATTGATGCATATTGTCACAATGAAAGCAAACTTTTGGAGCCATGCAGGGTCCCCTTCATTGGGCTCATTAGGGCCAGTACTGAGCCTTAACACGGGGCGTTGCTTTAATTGTGACAATATGCGTGGGACTAATTCCTGCAGTATGCTGGTGACATCTTGTTTCTCTTCTGATCAGTGCGGCACCATCCATGGTCACTCCAGCATCCACTACTCGAGGAGCTCTCTGGTAAGGAGTGCAGCAGAACATATTTTAAACTTTCATATGGGCAGCTCTGTCACGTGGCTATAGATCGGCAAGCATTAAATTAATATTATCCCATGTATATACTCGGTCACACACAACCAGCAATGTCACTCCAACACAAGTAGTTTAAGGCAGCAACATGATGAAGTACACTAGGGATAATTGAAAATCTGCGGCCCTTGAAGTGTTGGCAGTAACACAATTAACTTGTCTGCATGCGATACCTGCTCTTAGGCAGAACATTTAAAATGATGGAAAGGTCTAGTTTAAGCTGGCCATTCACATGAGATGACCATCACTGATCCAGCTGCATCTCATTTACAAGATAATAAAGTGTCACATACCGAGAGAATGTCTCCTCTGGTGGGGCCTTTGTCTGGTTCTGCTCAGCACCGTTCTCAGTGTTTTGATGGTTATTGTCTCCATCCCGCAATTTGGCAATATTCTGACATGAGATGAGAAGGGGGGAGAAGGACAGCTCCTGGATCCGGGAGAGAACAATGTCCTCTGTAGACTGTGAGATGAGAACTCTGAGGATGGCCAATATTCCAGATATCCAAAGCTGGACGGTGCTCACAGAGGCCTGCTCAAAGAAAACAAAGACTAGAATGTAGGACAACAAACTTCTTCTTGACTTACAGATGATGTGTACAAGGTACAGCAGAGGTTTCTTAAACAGTTTCCATGTCATGCCTTTATCAAGTCTAAAAAAAATGTGAAGGGTTTATTCATTTTTGGGTCACGCCTTAATAACCAAGGAAACATGTGGGTCCCGAGGTTACACGGGTTGAGAACCACTGCTCTAGAGTAAAGGATAACTATACTTCTAGTATAATTAACCTTTAAAGTTAACCCCCTCCTCCCCAGGAGGGGGTTCTCCCTAAGTTGTATACATACCTGCCCCACTACTCTAGGATCTTTACCATGCGGGGTGGAAACCAACCGCTGCTTCAAAAGTCTCCAGGACAGGTTACTCTTCTTTTGTGCATGTGTTCCATCATCATCCTTTATTCCTATTGAAAGGCTGTCCTCCATTGACACCAAAACAAGTTCTTTCCAAAAGAATTAATGGTGATTGCAGCACAAATGTGTAATAAAAGGGCAAGGTCCAGAGACTTCTGAAGTGGCAGCTGTGCATCTCCCAGTTGGCTGCACAATAAAGTTCTCAAAGGAGCTGGGACAGGTAAAAGTACAGTTATCCTTTAAAAGATAAAGGATATGCAAATAATTCCAAAGCCTTTTATGTTCCCTTTAAGCCCATCTCCTACTAACCAGTTATAGTTTTTCAGTATACATGCACACATGAAAAGGCCAATATTTTGCCTTATCTAGAATCTAATTGTATTTTATTTATTTTTATTAATGTATTCTCTGATCACTTACCATAGTGTATGGAACGACGAACATACTTCTCAGCAGCATGTCTACTGGACGTAGGGAGGAAGGAGCCAGAGTTTCAAATAGAGTGTTCAACACACCCAGAGCATCATGGGAGTCTATGTGCATCTAAAGAAATAACAAAGGACGTAGTGACATCTCTGATTTTATAACACAACTGGTTTAGAGACCAACTACATCCAAATCTGCATATATTTCAGTTTCACTGGGTTGGTGACCAGCCGGTACCAAGTTTTGGAAGTCACTGGTGAGATTTCCACACTAGAATGCACAGTTCTGGCCAAAGAAAGTCAAAGTATGGTGCCACTGTGTCTTGGTGGAGTCTACATACAGCAAACATATTGAAAGAATTCAGCTGTTGTTATTTGGGCCTTTTGGGAGGGAGAGCATATGGCAAGGAAATATGATCGAATTATGTCATGGAGTGACTGAAGAAGCTGACAGGCTACCAACCATAGCCCATTAAGGGCTTAATTACTGACCTGTTGTTTTGACAACATAGGCAGAATGATGTCCGCTATCTGGCGGGAGAGCCTCTTCCACTTGTCCTCATTCTCTTTGTGACACTGCTGCAGTACCAGAATAAACATCTCTAGGACCTGATGATACTGGATAAGTCTAAGCAGCATGGACACCACCACTTCCTTCTGAGTCTCCAGCTCTTTCCCTGCATCGGCTTTATTGGTTCCTCTTAATACAAAGAGGTCATGGACTATGGGCTGCAGAGCTGGAATGGCTGCAGTATAAGGAAAGGCAAAAGTAGTCAGACACTGAATCTTATATACTAAAAATAAATTATATGACATGTTTGCATGCATAATAATAATTTAAAAAAAGTATTTATGAATCAAATCAAGAGGATAAATCACAGCGCATTCGTATAGTTAGTACTTTTATATGTGCCTATAGACATAAGTGTTCTTAAACCCATCCTCACGTGTCAGATCTTTAATCTGCATTTTTTTTGAGCCATACAAAAATGACAGGACGCCTTACTTATTGATATTGTACTCTGGCAAAAACACTTAGGGGCTTATTCATAAAGCTGCCGAAGGCCGCGACGCCGACTCCGCCCAGTTGTTACTGTTTAATGATAGTTCAGCGTCCCTAGGTCATTTGGGGACGCTGATCTGTCATTACAACTGGGCGGAGCCAGCCGTGATCTCTGCCCAGGTGTCATTTTGGGACCAAAAGGCCGGCCTGTTCACCCCACTTTGGCTGACACTTCGGCTCAGTCGAGCCGAAGCAAATGCCTTTGGCTCGGCTGAGCCGCTCAGCCACTGTACAGGCTATTGTGAATAGCCCGTACAGCAGCCCTTCGGTTCGACTGAACCGAAGGCCACTTGTGGCTCAAAAGAGCCGAGGGATCAGCCAAAGCTACGGCTGGATCCTTCGGGCTCTTGTGAATAGCCCCCTTAGCTTTTATGTTTTGGCATTCCTAAAGGGAACCTGTGCTTTGCCTATGAGATATTGCGCATTGCACCAGTCTTTCTGAAGGGAAAACCAATAGCGATCCCGTGATTCTTTTAACAGGCTCAGTCAGGGGGTGTCTGTCAAGATCAGACACGTATCCTCCACGATGGTGCTTTTTGGCGCTCTGCGTTACAAAAATTGGTGCATGTTCATTTTTCTGTCTGCTATGGTGTGTTAGCATCTTATTTAAATAAATGGGCTGCCTTAACACAATGCACATTGACGTGAGTGCCTTAACACAACAGTTTGTAAAGGTGTGAATGGGCCCTAAGGGTCACAGATTTCAATCATGTTTACATACCATGGGTAACAGCTTTCCTCCCGCTGGCCATGATGCCGTCACACAGCTGAATGATTTTAGGAATGCCGATGATCTGCTTAGAGTGGTACCGTTCATAGGACAGAAGAACCAGGAAAAAGAAGACATTGGGAATGATGGCTTCCGATTCCCTGTCAAGTTAACAAAAGAAACTTAAGTAAATGGGATATCACCTGCCGCACAAATCCAGAGAGTATCCGGCATTTAGGGCCTATAGGAGAGGACCTTACCTGAACTGGCCTACTTCAATGTACTCAAACTGCTTCAGCACAAAGCCAATGAACACCTGCAGGAGCAAAAAGAGAGTGCATTAGAAAAAAATGTAAAGCCTTTAACTATACTTCGCTTGGTCAATCATGATTTTATTGTGGTTTAAACAAGGTTGAAGAGAAAACAAAGGGGTGCTTTGATTATGAGGGTACACTGTGTAGTGAACATAAGTTATACATAAAAGAAACACAAGGACAGGTTTTTATCACCGCTGCCTTCTGCTGAGTGAATGCCATTACCTGATCAGAGTCCAGCAGACAGTAGTTGACTCGAAGTTGGACAAGTTGAGCTAGAAGATCGAGGACCTGTCTCTGCAGCTGCACAGATGTAGTCGTGGTGTACTGCTTCAAAGCTTTAATCACCAGAGGCTCAAATAGACGAATGTGGTTATGAATAGTGTTCTACAAGGAAGTAAAGATGAAAAGATTAACCAGTAGCTGACAAAGGGAGGATAAAACGTTTTGCATTGTGGATAGAGTAGGGGATGTTAAAACTGCTGTCAGGTTTTTTTTTTGCCATTTGTGTCCCAATAGGGAGATTTTCATTCACTCCGTCTCCTGTGGACTCAAGAGGAAGTGAGAGTTGTCACAGGAACAAGGTTTCCCCTCTATTCCTGTTCTGGTGGCGACTAAAAATTTGTGACTTTCCCTCACTTTTATTCCTGGTGATCAGGACAAAGAGAGACTGAACGGAGACACAATAAATACCCGACAGTGGTTCTAGCCCCTTACACACTCTATCCAAAGTTAAAGAAAAAACGTTTTGCCTTTAATTATACTTTAAAATGATGTTGCCATTTTGTCCGATTACATATCAAAGCCCCCCCCTTTAAAGAGAAAGTTTGCCCTTATCTTTAAAATGACAACAAAGAAATGTTTAGTAATGGCAATCTATAAACAGATATTTATAGATATTTGCCGGGTTGGTATTCTTTGCATTCCTTATTTCTCTTTTCCTCCCCAGTCTTCTCACAGTGGCCATATTTACTAAGAGTAGATCAATCCATCTAAATCTACTTCCTGGAACTCTGGCACATGTGACTAGGACATGTGACCAAGCAATCATCTCAGGGGAGGAAAATGCCTTTCCCTGAGATTACAGGTCAAATTTTTCAGCAATGCTCTGCTGATGTAACCTTCCCAGGATGCATCTCTTAAGCAAGGGCTACCTCACTAATGCTTAAAAAGGACCAGGAAGTGGAAAAACATTTGTAAGTCAAATCAAAATATGTTTATTTAACTAATGAATGTAACTTGGATTTCATATCAGCATGCAAAGCTGCACTCTGATCTGATTTTCAGTGAAAGGAGGCCCACAGGCACAATAAGAGGTAGAACCTGGACAAAGCAGTCAGAAGTGACTACAGCAGTCAATTAATGGAGGGATCAGACCCACACAGGTGAAAACCGCTCACACAAATCCATTCGCTTCCTCTAAGTGGAGGTCTTATACAGGCAATGCCATTGTTGAGACCTGCACCATTCCAGTACAGAAAGTAACAGAGCAGGATACCACTTTCCTTCAACCTTATATAGTCAAATGACTATACCGTACATGTGAACATAGGCTATATGGCTAGATATTGTAATTAGGGCCTGGTTAGTAAGAGTGGCAATGACTCTAGGCAATCACCTCCTATAAACAAAGACAGGAAATCAAGTTATACCTTATCTGCACGGTGCTTAGTAACGTTGGTAATGCTGTTCTTCAACTGAGAGGAAACCTTCTGAAGCACATCAAACCACCTGGAACAAATAAGCAACCGGGTCCTTCTAATATGCAATATTCAATATACAAACCAATGCAAAGATTTTAAAAGGGATGATTTACAGAACTAAGAACTGAACAGGGGAAATGAAAAAAGGGATACTCATCTTAAATCGGACCTTTACCTGTATCTTTAAAATAACAACCAACACACCTTTAGAAATGTTTAGTAATGACAATCTACAAACACATACTTCTAGATCATTGCCGGCTTTGTATTCTCTGTATACCTTATTTCTCTTTTCTTCCCCAGTCTTCTGACAGTGCCCATGTTTACCAAGAGCAGCTTATTAGCTCTCCTATTATTTCTTTGATTTCTGGCACATGTGACCATGGTCATCATCTCAGGGAAGAACATTCATTTCCCTGAGATCTCCTGAGATTACAGATGAGATTTCCCAGCAATGCTCTGCTGATGACAAGACAATCCCAGTGTGCATTGTGTTGGCAAACTGAAGTCATTTTGCCCTTTCAAAGCAGGAAGTGAATGCTCTGCAAGTGTAAGTATTTTATAATCACAGCATTTTACACCTGACATGTCTTTGTTATTAATAATCATCATACATAGGGGGATGCATTTGTAGAATGTGATTTTTGAGTGTAAAGGTCCGCTTTAAAACTGATCCCCAGCCTTACCTTCAGTCTTGCACAGTAGTACAGGCTCCTCTCCTGCACTGAAATTTTATTTTGAAACAAAATTCCACTGTACACTTCTGATAGTGTGCAATATGCCAGATAAAGCTCACCTAATGTCCTAGCTGGAAAGCATTCAGCATCATCTAGGTCTTTACTCCACAGTCTTATGATCCCTGACCTGCACTTTTTATTCATTGGATTTAAAGTATTTTAATTATGGGGGCTCAGAATCATATGTAGTTGTTACCTAGGGCAGTATGCAGCCAAATGCAGTCTGCTTAGAAACACCCACTACTCCAGAACGACATCCACCCGTTAAGGCATTTTGATATCTTTACAACTCTTCCCAAAAGCCAGGTTATAGCTTGCATGAGGGCTGAGAGCTCCTGAGAGGAGTACTAAGGCAGAGCGCTCTTATATTAATGAGGAAGCTATATATAGCACCGCACTGACGTCTTCCCCAAGGTATGATTTGCCTGTATTGCACGGAGCAGCACAGGGACCCAGTGAGGACGTCGCTCGGTCCTCAATAAGGTATGTAATTAAGATTGAGGTTTTATTCATTAGAACATTGATGAGGAGGGGAGGGCAAAATATAAGCAGAATAATCTTCAGCTTTAATATGCTAGTTAAAGCACAACCGCATAACCAGACTGGTTAGTTTTGTTTTTTTTGGCCTTTAAAGTCTCTAGAAATTTCAGGTACACAAAGATGTAGCCCTTGGGTGGGGAGAACGGTTACCGACATCATACATCACATAAGCAGCATGTATTATTAGTTTATCATGGTCCCTGCCAAGTTTCAGACATCTAGTGCCAAGCACCGCAGGGCATAGTACAGATAGCATTTTACCCAAGTGAGGAATTTGGAATGGCATTAAATATACACGGTGTGTGCTTACCCTGATGGGTCATACTCCTGATCAGCTTGAACCATGTTACGTAGACTGGCATCTGCCAGAGCCTGGGTAAAATGTGTATACGGAGCCATGAAGCAGTAATGGTACAAGCCGGGTCGCAGGTTAGAAGAGCCAAGGCGCTGAGCTTTTCCCTGGGTTTTACTAGGGTTTGAACACAGCGCCTCAAACTGAGATGCCAAATTGGTTCCAAAAAGGGTTTTCAATAGCTAAAAAATATGGAAAAACAATAACTTTCAATATTCATCATACAATCAAAATAACCAGAAACGAAAATACATTTTGTTTCTTAGTATTATCTCTGGAGATAATCAGTCACTACCAATGACAAATAGTTTCTTTTAACTTACCTGTTGCACACATATCGTGACCATCACCGGCTCCCTGTTAAAGCAGGACTTCAGATAACCCAGGATTTCTTCCACACACTGTGTACAGGGAAAGTAAAACATTAATGGATCAAATAAGCAGCTCCAAGACCAGCAGAGCGTTCACAAGTTTGGCTTCTCTTAAAATGTGGTTCAGACTACTAAACAAAAGTAACAGCCAAGACATATAATTTGCAAGTATATGTAGCTGTCCAGTGTTTAAAAACTATGTAATCCTATAATAAAGAACTTCTCCTTTAAACATTAACAAACTGAGATTTCTTACATTGCACTAATATTAATCAAATATATACACTGATAAACTATAGACTCAATGTAAATGGCAAATAGACTTTACAGCTTTTCTCTAAAGGAAAGACAAGTTATTGTGCTGCCACGGCCACTGTTATTGTCTGTTAATTTAATTACACTTCTATGTACTCATTGCATATTATTTGGTTATGATATATTCCTGACGTCTAGTGGTAGATTAGTGCTACTACACTTGTTTTCTGTATAAATTGGCATCTTCTACTGCACTTCCCTCATGTTTAGTGTCACTTGATATAGCCTTAGATAAAAACCCTCCCTGCACCGAGACCTCTTCTCCCATATATTTCACCCCCTACTGGGGCTTATTCATAGAGATGAGAAGTAATTCATCAAAATCAACTAGACATACTTAAGACCTTTCACCAATCATTTCAGTGACTTTCCCAAATCAAATGAGTGTAGGAAAAATACTCCAGGATTTTTTAGTCACATAGTCGACAGGTTATTTTAAATTGTATCAAGATAGAAGTAGCGGAGGGCTGACACCAACTGTCACCCACTTACAACTCAGTTGTACCATTGTTACCCCAGCAATATGACAACAGTTCATACCTCCAGCTATGTAGCTCTAACAATTAGGATCCGTCTCAGACTTTGTGCAACAGTGGTGAAGTGACTGGATTATGTATTTAGGGCCCATTCACGCCACATACAGATCATCTGCAGACCAGACCAGACCAGGTTGTTTACGGACCCAAAATGCATCCTAATGTATCTCTATGCTATTTCTGACCTCTGTTCACCCCAGGGCAGTCTGTTCCAGACCAGACCAGAAAAATACTGCACGACTCATTCTGTCTGGTATGCACTGGAATTGCGGGCAGGTTCACACCATTTTCCGGACCAGATCTGGCCTGAAAAATGGTGTGAGCCTGCAGCTGAAGCAGACTCACAACAGGTCTCACAAACTCCCTTCATGTTGCTTGATCCAATCCATGACACCAAGGTGAATGGATTACAGACTGAGCGACCCACGTGGCTATAAACACTAGGGTAAAATGTGACTAACTACAACTAGCTATGCCATGAACTGGATAAAAAAAAAAGCCTTCAAAAAGATAGAGGGGTAAAAAATAAATTAAATAAAACATTGTAGGGACCAAAGTACTGTAATATAATCACCTTATATCATGTTTAATAAAAAAAAAAAAACAGTGGTTGAGTTGACTACAAGGCCTGGGATTGTCTAACAGACAAGATTTCCATTTTTCTCAGTGTCTACATTGCACAATGTACCATTTCAGAGTCAGCATAATATATATACTGGTACCTTGCCGATATCAGTCAGGGTAGCTAGTTCCAAAATCTGAGAGAGGACATCCAGAGCAGAGCGAAGAAAACCCCCAAACTTTTCATTGTTACTCTGAAGATCCAGTGTTACCTATGAAAATAAGGAATAAATCACAAAATGGTGACAATATATTAGGTTCACCCAATTCCCAAAGTGACCTGGCTCTGGGAAGATGCGCCAAAAGTAGTAAGAAACAATAAAGTATAAACTGTAAACACAAACTTTGTCTATTATAGCCGTTCGTCCTCGCTCTCCTTAACCGCTTCCATTTGGACATCCTATAATGCTACCTGTAGACTCCAAGCTGTAAGCCCTTGTGTGCTATCTGTCAATACATCAGCTTTGAGGTCACAGGGAGCATGCATCCCAGGGTGACCATAGAGGTCTGAACTGGGTGAACTGGAAGGATCAACAGGTAAAATAAAAAGCAAAAAAACAAAACTGAGCAAAGGAGGAGGAAAGAATGACACCCCTGGAAAGAGTGGTAAGCTACTATTTTATTATCTCTTACTTTTAGGTTAAGTTACACTTTAAAAAACATAACATGCCATAACATGACCTGCTGGTGAGATAAAATGATGCCTGGGCTCTTACATACCTTATAGTTGGCATAGGTGGCTTTCAAAACATCATACAACTTTAAATAGGATGGGAGATGGTAGAAACTGCCGAGAGATTTGCTTGTTTGAGCTGGGCCAGAGGCATCTGTCTGGCGTGAAGCTTCAACAAAGGATAAAAAAAAAAAAAAAGGACATAAAAATGGAATAATATATTTTGCATACTAAAGTGTATCACGGAGGAGGCCTTGCCGATTAATTAACATTACTATGAGCTAAATACTGAACATTTGTTTTTTAACTGCCCTAACTTTAAAAGTAATTTGTTTTTCAGCATCTATTACACGGTTACTGAACACGACTATCTTTTGTCCTCTACTCTAGAATAAAAATAATGTCCAAGCAGCTTACCTGGAGTGGTGTCGCTGACTTTCTTTGGGCTCAGCGGCACTGAGGTCTGCTCAGCACTCTCCCTCTCCTTCCCTTTCCTCCGGATGGGACTTAAAGAAGGGGGGTTAGTTAAAGATGGAAGAGTAGTCTAAGAGTAAAAAGACACAAAACAAAGTGATTGCTTGACCACACATGCCATATGATCATTGTGACTCTATGGCTGTACTGTAAGGTTAGAGAGCATGTCATTATGACCCATCCCTCCCTAATGACATTTTTATCTAAAGTATTGGTCTGCTGTTGTCACTTCTATTAGCCTGAGCAAAGAACAGCAAAGTGTCGTAGAAACACACATCACATACATAATTTTCTCCATTCTCTAGCACAGACAGGGACACGGACAGACAGGGACACGGACAGACAGGGACACGGACAGACAGGGACACGGACAATCAACATTGCTGGTAAAGAAGTGTGATTGCTATTAGCCGGAGTACTGTGCAGGAGTATGTTGGAGCGCTGCATTGTGTGTGTCTGAGAGTCTGTCTCAGGGGTGTGGACATTTTTGAAAAAACGACTTGTCCAAGGGCTAAAGCGGGGGTCAAATCTACTTGTCCTTCATGACAATCTACTTGTCCCAATACAACAAAAAAAGTTTTAAAAGTTTAAAACTAGGGATGCACCAATACCAGTTTTTGGGTATCGAGTACCAATATTTTGCTTTCAGTACTCACCCGTTGGCATGGAGCAGGCTTCGCGGGCAATCAGGAAGCTAGGCAGCGGGTAATGAGATGCTGCCCGGCTTCCTGACTGCCAGGGAAGCCGACTCCATGTTGTTTGGCCGGCTTGATTGTGAATGGCTGGGAGGCCTGCTCCATGCCAACGTAATGACCTGATTGGCCGGGAAGAAGGCTCGATGCTGATTGGCGGCCAAATCGGCAAGGAGCTGGCTTCCCGGCCAATCACTTGACCATGCTGACCAATGAGTGTTGGCGCTGTGATCACAGCGCCACGGTCTCAGTGATAGCACAGAGCAGACGAAGAAAGAAAGTTCTTCATCTGCTCTGTGGGCTCTAAGGTGAGCTCCCGTGCCGTGGTGACGGGTCCAGCAGAGGAGCGGGGGACACCCGAAAACCACGGCGGGGGGCAGACAGGATCGCCGATTCTCGCTTCATGCAAGTGATCTGATTAGATCACTTGTATGAAAACGAGCGGCGGCTCACACTGTACATTTAGCTCTGCTTGTCCGGAGCAGGGCTGAATGTATTAAAAAACTACTCGCCCGGCGCCCGAAACTGCCTGTCCCGGGCGTCGGGCGATAGGAATTCCACACCCCTGTGTCTGTGCAGGGTGCAGGTAGTAGAGGGCAATTTATCCCTTGTTGCTGCACATAGTAGGTGAAAAAAAGAAAAAACAAGCATAGTTACTAATGTATTACAGCAACAAATACAGGTTTATTCTAACCTGGAAATCCTTTGTCATATACGTTTAGCAATTTTCTCTTGCTTGGTCAGTGCATAAGTGGTTGCATGCTAGACCAAGAAGTATAGTTAGAAGGTCTGATCACCTCAAACCTAGAATCCTGGTGTTATTGTCCTTGCTCTCTGACTAATGCATCTCTGCAGACACACACAAAAAAAAGGACATCATAGAAGGATCTTGCCGTAACCTCCTAGCAAAATACAGTGCATCCTAGTCCTGGAGAGATAGCCAGTAATGCTCCCTGATTTTGATCAAACCCAGTATGCTCAGGAGAAGGGGGATTTAAAATAAACACATTTAACACATAACAGAAAATACTATTCTGAATCGTACCTTCACTACAGGCCCTGGAGGGACATCATCAATCACATGAGCACATATATTGATGGCCTTCAGTAAATGAATGAACAGCTGATCCACCACGCCAACCATCAAGCGGTCACCTAGAGCTGGCCATGGCTCCTCTTGCTTGGTAGCGGTCGGGTTGGCTTCATCCTCCCCTGTCCAGGGGTTCTTTAAAGATTTAGTAGCAGTAGCTAAAATGCAAAAATAATCTTTGCTTAAGCAACAGCAAAAGAACAAAAGTACCATTTGCTTTGTGAACAATTAGTCTTGGGTTTACTAAAGGCAGTAGTCTTAAAATACTAGAATGTAACATATTCGGAACACTAACGCCCACACCTCGCATGTGCTACCCAATTGTGACATGTAGAATACAGAGGCAAAGCTTCAGAAAAAGGGGCACGGTACATGTGGCTCAGCATGATTTATGGAGTGTCTTCTGGCCGGAGCAGCACTTCAGGACTGCCTCATGACACTGCTCCATTTTAGCAGCCCTTCGAAAATTACAGACACAAACAAAACATGAAGCTTTAGTCATGCCCAATTGTTAGAACTACCCTGTGTAATAAAAGTTTGGATTACAAACCCCTAAATTTTCATAAAAACCTAACTAAAAATCCTAAGTACTCAAGCAGGGTGGCAGTATTTTTGGACCTTGGGTGTATAGAATGCTATAAAACACTACAACAACCTTGGGTTATGCCCTGGGCCTCCTCTACACCGGCTAGAGAGGTGACAGAAACTGATGGTTGCCTGAAAATACTGTTTGTAGGCTTCATTTCTAAACATATCTATTACTGTGCTGTTATTTCAGTGTATTTACATGTGCAAATCAAGAGTATAGAATACAAATTTTTACCCACTTAACCTATTATTAATTCTTTAGTTAACCCTATTGAACCTTTTATCTTTTTTCTTACCATTATTATTGAACTTTTTTAACTTTGCGTTTTGTTTAATAATGTTTTTAGCATATGCCAAATTTATAGTGGGGTTTCACTTCATTTGTAAATACGGTAACAGTGCCATGCTTTCCACTAAAAACGTGATGCAGCAGGCATTGGGTAACCGTAGAACCAAAGCAGGCAGCAGGGTGCACAGGCATCTGGCACTAGACATGTGCACTGCCAAAAAAATCGTTTAGTTTCGTTTCGTTTTAAATTCGGATTTGTGTTATTTCGTTTTTCGGGATTCGGGTGTGAAAGTCAATTCGGATTCGGAATTCGGACGAAATTCGGTAGCGGTAGGTCGAACGTTCGTTTCGTTTTCTGTTCTTATTAGTTTCTTATTCGTTCCGTTCGTGACATTTGAGGGGGAAAAATATTTGTATCCTTCTCTAATGTCATTTTGCTCCAACGAACGAAACGAATAAGAAACGAAAACGAAACGAACGTTCGAACTACCGCTACCGAATTTCAGAAATGGAAATTCGGATTCGTTTGCATTCGTTATGTCTGTAATTCGGAATTCGGATACATCCGAATGTCCGAATTTCCGAAAATTCGTCCGAATTTCGATTCGGAACGAAACGAATCGCACATGTCTATCTGGCACACTTGGAAATGTTGGAGCTTGTGTAGCTCTGCAAGAAAGGGAAGATTGGAGTACCCGGCAGCGGGAATTTTAAGTATTCTTGTTGGTTCAGTCGCTTTAGGCAGAACATTTTACTTTAACACCTTCATGACGGGAGACGTACAGTGTACGTCCTGTCACTTTGTGCCTATATGACTGGCCACGTACACTGTACGTGACGAGTTATATCAGGCTTTGTAATGCCGGTATTTGCTGATTCTCAGCATTTAACAGTCATTCATTAATGTCTCAGTATTGAGGCATTAATTAATGAAATAATTAAGCTTTTTGTAAAAGCTTCTTCCTTTCATTAATGAAAGAATGAAGCCGTTACATGCAAATAGAGGACCGCAATTTGCGATCCCGTATTTGACAGCTCAAAATAGCAGAGAGGCAGCAGTGACTCACCTCACCTCTCTGCTATTTGTTTTGACAGCTCGAGAACCCGATGTTTAGATACATTTCACTCAAAAGATACAATGTATATCTTTTGAGTGAAATGTATCAGTTCTGATCGTCTAGGCACGATCAAAGAGCTTTTAGTGAGATCTGAATCTGACTAAAGTCAGGATCAGTCTCTAAGGTTATTATTAGCTGTTCCTAAGTTTGGATCAGCCTAATAGCCAAAAATAAAATAAAAAAGTTAATTTATCAAGCTGTCATAGTGATTGCTTGATATAAACTGACAAGAAAAAAAAAAGTTTTTTTATTTTATTTTTATTTTTTTTACAAAGTGTAAAAAAATTAAAATAAAGTGTAAAACAAAATTAGGAAAATATAAATTATATATAAATATATTTTTTATACTATAATTAATATAAAAAAATTCTAAAAAAAAAAAAAATAATCAAAACTTGTGAAAAAAGTGTTTTCTTCTAGTTTTTTTCCTCATTTTTTTTATTTTATTCAAACTAAGTGAGGGGTTAGGTACACATATGTGATATAATTATATAGCCCTATCTGTCCTCTAAAAAACAATATATAATATGTGTGGGTACATTTAGTAAGAAAGTATATTACTGCTGTGGAAGAATCACACAGCAAAAATGTAAAAAATGCGTCAGTCATTTATGAACAGAACCTGAAAACTAGCTCAGTCATGAAGGGGTTAAAAAACTGAGATGCTTAAAAGGTGCACTTTAACACGTGCCGGTAGTTCAACCTGAATATGTATATGCTTACAGCAATCACACTTTGCAGCTATAAGGCTGCTGAAATCAATCACCTCAGGCTAGTATGGAAATAATAGTACTGATGTAGACATACATGACACACTGAAGGAAAAGGTACCAACAGGGTTTGCAAAGTACGTCATGCTGGCAACACATATAGAGAGGGGAATTGATCAAAACTGGAGCAGCTGTGCATGGCAACCATTACGCATCCACCTTTCATTTTCAGAGCCTAACTTAAACTGAAAAGAGAAGCTGATTGGTTGCCATAGGCAAATGCTCCATATTTTGTCTGTTTCAGTTCTGATAAATTCCCCCCAAAGTATTTTAGTAGAGTATTCATGCTCAACATCAGTGCTATGTCAAGCAAATATCACATTTTCATTCTAGTTACAGGTCCCCATAAAGAGAACTTTCTGATACCAGATATTCAAATTGTGTACCCACCTGCCATCAAATTTCCAGCCAGTATCAAGGCATCCTGGTGAGCGGAGAGATCAAGTGGAAACCAGGCTGAGGACAACAGAGACAGTATCATATTGGCCATACCGGCAGTGCAGCTCTTGCGTGGTTCTTCGGAGGGGCTCTGCTGGGAAATACTGAGAACAGACATTCAAAGCTTCATTATCTACAATGGACTTCACAACAACAAAGCCATAAGACGCTCCTCATTAAGTCTTCCCTGAAAAGGAAACTCGAATTCCAATTTACCTAAAAGATCGCCCCCGATTCTTGTAGACCTGGATCCGGGAAGCCTGTGCACTAGAGGATGTCACATACCCACAATGCCACCCAACACTCCATGTGCTTACTGGATAAACAGAGGATAACAGGCACAAAGCTTCACAGCAACCAAACTGAATGTAAAAGGAGAAACAGAGAGACAATATGTAACCTTGGAAATACAGATTACTAAAGAAAAAAACAAATAAGGAAAAAATAATGCAAGATAAAACATAAAACTGCATAGCTACTTCAGTCAGGAAGCCGGGTAGCATACCATTACCCGCTGCCCGGCTTGCTGATTGGCCAACTACATACTTTTTTGCCGTCTCGATGATGATTGGCTGGGAATCTGGCTTTCTGGCCAATCACCATTTAGCTGGCCTCCCGGCCAATCAGGAAGCCGGTAGGTGGGTCATTACCAGCAGCCCGACTTCCTGATTGGCCGGGAAAGTTGGCTCCATGCTGTTTGGTCGGCTCAATGCTGATGGCCAGGAAGCCGGCTTCCCAGCCAATCACCATTTAGTTGGCTTGCTGGCCAATCATTACCTGCGGCCCACCTTCCTGATTGGGCGGGAAACGGGCTCCATGTTCCCTCCCAGCACTGGCGGTCAGAGAAAATCTCCCTCTGACCGGCAGTTCTGCTATCAGGATAAGTATATATTTATTTATGTTTGATTCATGTACTAATTAACACAAGTACATTCTATGACATCAGTTTACTGCTGTTCCTTCACTATCCGTTCAGAAGGCTGGGAGAAGGTCAGTGGCATATCAGCATTACTTTTTTCCGTAAAGAAAGCAGAAATTGCAGACGGGGTAGCAGTGTCTGGCAGGGGTGACGGGAGCAAACGTTTGGCTCACCGGAATTACAAAACTGTGAAAAGTTACGTACATGTATATGTTCTCCTGCTGTGAAAACCCACCCGGAGCCCAGCTTTTCTCTAGGTATACTGTTACTGGACATTCTATGAAGAGACAAGTAAGATTTGCCCGCATAAGCCCACCACATCTTATTTGTGATTGTGATATTTAACTAAGAATGTGAATTGATTGATGGCTGTGTTGTCAAAGCTGACCTGTAACCAACAGCATATCCTAATAATGAGGTGCAAAGTCTGCACACACTGTCACTCCATATACACTACGCCTTTCTGATTTATGGTTTTATGGTTAAATACATCATTCAGTTACCGTCAATGCTCGAGTGGTTGATGTTGTCAGTGCGTGAGAAACTGCAGTGATGACTTTGGACAGATTATTCTCCATAGTGACATCTGTGGGGCTCTGCATAATGCTATACCCTCTGTAGATCCTGCATGAGCACAAACGTGACCAAGCATTACAGAACATTTTAACAGACTATCATACGCATCATTAAAGTACATCAAAACCGGAAGAAGTAAAATGTTATATGTGGCATCTTACCAGGTCTTACACAGATGTGGTGGCTACATTCGTTTTCTTTTTTTCCCTTTTAGTTTCATCTGGTGATCCTGCCATTAATAAATTCCTATCATAGGGTGACAACACTCACTCATTGTGCTGTATTTATGAAGGAACAGCATTGGCACCTTTAAGTGAGCTGGGACTACATAAGGGGGAACTGCTCTGTAGTTCACAGAGGTAACATTTGCAACACTGCTTGAGGTAACCTAGGAAGACTGCACAGGACACTAGATTTCTGGCAGGATCAACAGGTATTTTTGCCCTTTTAGAACAGATATTAGCCAAATGCTTTTAACGGTATACACAATAAATAAAGGAGTTCATTGTTAGGGATTACATACACTTTAAAGTAAACCTTTTTTTAGGGACAAACAGAGGGTGCCATAGTTAACTTCTCATTTAGCAAATGCTGGGTGCCTGGCTGTCATGATGACTCTCAGGTGAAGGGGTGACAGCTGCTGCTTGTAAACGCCAGATTAGGTATTCCTGCTGCAGCAATCTCTAATCGCACCTATACTCTCGTTCCTCGTCTCCCCACAATACCCCCCCCATATAAAATAAAACAAAGAGCCCACTGACTTGCATATGTTTTTGCACAGAGGAGGCACGATCCCTGGTGATCGAGTGGTTGATTAGTAAGGTCTGGTGCAGACCTTACAAATCCATCCTTTTGGCCGGCGTTCAGTAAAGAGCGTCCGAACGCTGGCTGAAAAGATCTGACTGCCGGCACTGACAGGAGCAGCTCTGTGGGTTGCATTCAACAGAGATGCACACCATGTAGCTGCTGCCGCAAGGGACGGGGTCCGTGACTGCAAGCCTGACTAGTCAGCTGGCTGCAGGCCACATAGTACCAGTTCACGGGCCCCAATTGGCCCGTGGGGCGGTACTTTGAGATCCCTGCTTTAATGGGACAAACTCAGGAGTTAAATCTTAAAAATCCATTCAAGTGCTCTAACTATTAACAAAAATGTATCTTATTTGTGTATCACTGGGCTGTAGATCCTCAAAACATCTCTGAATTGGTACCGACACTGTCCCTCCTTCTGGAGGGGGGCTACTTTTGTTCCCCATGGTCCCAGGGTGTGTTGTAAAGTAGTCACCGCTTCAAGTTCACTCCTGTGATAAACTTCAATATAAATTAGTAAACTATTTTAGTTAATCACAGGAGTAAGCTTGAATCGGTGGCTACTTTACAGCACCCGCAGTGACCATGGGGGAACAAAAGTAGCCACCCTCCAGAAGGAAGGACAGTGTCAGCACCAATTCAGAGATGATTGGAGGATCTACAGCCCAGTGATACACAAATAAGATACATTTTTGTTAATAGTTAGGGTACTTGAATGCATTTTTAGGATTTAACTTCTGAGTTAAGTGTCATTTTAAGTAATTAACCCAGAAAAAGGATGCAAATAATGTCTGACTTTTCTGCTGTGCATGCTTGTTTTGGTTCAGCGATTCAGACCATACGAAGCAGGTCAGCAATCGTAGCCTACATAGTTCTCTACATTGTTCTCTACATAGTTCTTGTGTCTAAATTTTGACAATCACACAATACTGTAGTACAACCACCAGTTTCATAAATACTTCTTGTAACCCTTCTCCTTCAAAATTAAAATTCACATGAATAGAAAGATGAGAAAGACGGACCCTTAACAAAAACTTAACAGGAAGATCCTTTGGAAAGCAGTATACACAGGGTAAGTCAATGGAGCACTGAATATTAAAACAAATATTAAAAAAAGGTCACACATCTCCCCATATCATTGTACCAAAATGTCAGTATTTGGCAAGATGTACTGCTCTTACAATCAAGAAATGCAGCTACTAACTGCAAATTGCTGCAATTATCAAAGGCCACTTTACACTATGGACTTCATGTATAAAACTTCAACCTTCAACTGCATCCATAAAACTTCAACCCATATACATGCCATTTGCTGGGCGGATGCTGTTCACAAGTTGTTTACAAGTATAGGCATTTCCTATGCCTATAGCCAGTAGTACCCCTAGGCGCGTCAGCTCGATCTAGGGGTACTACTGTCATGCAAACAGCATCCACCCAGCTATAAGCCAGGTTAAAGTTTTATACATACAGTCCAATAACTAAGGTTGGATTCCTCATGTGGACCGATCAGTGATAACAACATTATGACAACAGGGGAAGTGAACAACATTGATTATCATGTTACAATGGCACCTGGAACTGGTTGGGAAATATTAGGCAGCAAGTAAATATCTTGTCCCTGAAGTTGACCTTTTTTAAAAAGGCAGAAAAAATGGGCAAGCGCAATGATTTAAGCAACTTTAACAAGGGTCCAAATTGTGATGGCTAGACGACTGGGACAGAGCAACTCCAAAACTTCAGCTCTTGTGAGACGTTCCTGGGCTGCAGTGGACAGGCCCTACCAAAAGTGGTCCAAGGAAGGAAATCCAGCGACAAGGTCATCAGTGGCCAAGGATCTCTGATGCACCTGTGGAGTGAAGGTGCCAGATACCACAGCATACCTTGGGGGGGCTAGTGGAGTCCATGCCTCATGGGTCAGGGCTGTTTTAGTGGTAAAAGGCGGACCTACTCAATATTAGACGGGTGGTCATAAAGTTATGGCTGATCGGTGTAAGTGTCCCTTGCTACATTCACTGTAAAAGCTGGGCTGTGCTGATGGTCTTTGTTTATGTAGATTGTGACAAGGATCACAGATGCCCACAGCAGCCATATCCTACTGAAGCTCTATGTGGATGTCTACATACGCTTTAAGAGAAACTGAACTCAGAAAAATGTGCCCCAAAAAATGCAGACAAAGAGCAAGGGACTAGTCACCGGTATTGCCTATGGCCTCTCTGCAGCAGATCTTTCCTCCATTACCGACTTACTTTGCTCCATTACCGACTATACTTTGTCCTGCATTACCGAACATACTTTGTCCTGCACCACGTTTCTATATGGAGGTGGCCATCATGGTCAAGACAGGGCTTTGCTTCCTCATGCCAGGGCCTCCAGCAAGGAGGAGAACAGCCGCACGTAGCGACATCACCAAATCTCCTGAGACTGGCAGTCAGAGGCAGCAGTGCCTTAGATCTCACACTGCAGATATACAGGTATGACATTACAGAACAGAAGTGCCTAGACGCACTCACATACCAGGAAGTGCACTGCTATTTTTAAGGAATTACAGACACAAAGTACACTTTTTCTGGGTAATGCTTAGGCAGAATTAACACTTCTAGTTGTTACCTATAAGCAGAAAATCTTTTATCGTTTTTTTGAGCTCAGGTCCACTTTATTCTGTGTTTTTTACATACTTTAAAGAAAAAATAATGCAATTTTCTTTTTTGAGCAGCTCAATATAAACAAGACTATACCCCAGATAATCCAATTCAATGACCACAACTGCTTTAATTCTGCATAAAGCTACCCATGTACTAAACAATGCACCCACCTTGTGATTGTACTGACAGCAAAATGGGATGCTGGCTGGGTCTCGTGCATGAGCAATTTCAGGTAGACACTGCTTTGGTCTCTGGCTGCTGCCACTACAGGGTCAGCTTGCCCTTGATCACAATGAAAAAACAGCCTTGGAACTATTCTGTGGACCAAAATGAAAACAAGCATCATCAGAAAAACATTTTAAGGTACAATATGAATGAGATGACTGAGGGATTGTCGTCAAGTCTACGGGTAGATACATGCAGCCACGCCCAATATTCATGGTGAATTATTTTATTTATGAGCTAGTCACTATGGGTTCTCCGGAGATGGAGTCCATGATTGCACAGAACACATGCTGGTTCTGTGGTAGAGGTAAGCATGAACTTCAGAACTGCTCTGCCTGGATCACCATCACAGTTTATAACCCAGATGGCTGCCACAGTCAGTTTAAGAAGTCTCTGCGCTTCCACTACTCTTAATGTGACACAATCATGCCATTCACTAGGGGCTCCTAATGTTTGGAATGGTCAGGACTGTCCATAAGCATGCATTGAAGAAAGGAGTCAAAGAATGTTCGAAAATATGGTCATGTCAATGTATTGGTACCAGAAGGAAATAACACCTCCGACACTTACTTGGCTAAAGTTGCTGTGGCTACATGCCTCACCCGAGCGTCTTCATCTCCCAAAAGGCTGATAATCACACCATTCAGCACTCGATCCTGAATATGTAGCCTCTACAAACATGCACAGCAAAAAGTTAGGACCTAAGATCAAAACTGGTTTCATGACAGATCAAGTTTATAACAAAAAGAACATCCATAGTTTTGTTTCCTCGCATACACACATTAGTGCGGTATGCAGAGCCAGTGGAGGGGTGGGTGCCTAGGGCCCAATGGGTGTCCAGGGTTCCTCAAGTATAGAAAAGCCAGCTAAAATAGTCAGCCAGCTTTTCTGTGTGTATCAAAAGTGATTTTGGTGTTTTTACGGCGGCTCAATCATTTCTGCCTGCCTGCCTTCCTTCAGTCCCAGCACTCAGTGGGCTTTGTGCACTCATGAACACTGCCAGTCATTTCAGGATAAAGAGCAGGAAGTACTAGTTCACTGGTCTCCATTATTTACACTGAACCTGAAAGTGCTTAACCTTGAGCACGTCCTGGATCAGAGAGGTCAGAAACCTAATGCAGCAACCAGGTAATCTGCAGAAAGAGGACTATGTCCCCTATCTGCATAGGATGTAGATATTAGGGGTCTAAATGATCCTTGATCCTTTAAGAGCACATGTCTCTATTTTTATACTGTCACATAGGGGGCATGTCCTTCCCCTTGTGAAAGTAATAAAGTTGAATTTAAAAAAAATACAAAAAATAGGAAAAAACAAAAAAAGAAAAGCCCCTGCCTCTCAACACAGACAGGACGCACTGACATACTTAAAACACTTGTGATGATACACATATTGGTTATCTTCTTACATGGCAGAGGTAAAAGAATAATGTTAAGGTCATTCGTTTGATTTAAGGCTAAACTGAAGAGCTGTAGAAGTTATTTACAACATTGGGTAATCTGAAGTTTGGCAAGCATATATAGTTTTGCCGCTAGATATATATGATATTAATTACCGTGACACGGTTAGATCTTATAAATGTAATAGAGAACTTATAGATAATGTTGTTCCTGTAATGTGTGCTGTCCTTTAAAGGTATTGAGTGACAGCAATAACCAAGAGGGAGCATCAGGATGTTGGCTGAAGCAAAGTCAGTGCTTAAGTCGACTATTACTAAACAGCAGTAGAGAAAAGTATGATCGCTGACCCGACAGCAGAGCTACAGAGAATTACAAATCCCTTGGATGGCAGTTCACATACATGTATTTCATGTGCAAAGCTCAGAAGAGTTTAGCTTCAGATCTCACAGGTGTGCATATCACAAAGCAAAGGTAAAAGGCCAAAAGGGATGAATAAATCCTCTCAACATTAGAAGAAAACACTGGATATATGTACCCCAGTATAATGATGTACACCTCTATGAAGTCCATCTGCTTTCCCTTCTAAGAAATTGACCAACCTAAAAGTGGAAAAAAAGAAACAAACAATTAAAAGGACAAGGAATAACTCCAGTAAAATCTGTAGACTGCTAAAGCAACCACAAAGTCCATTTAATGTAGCCTTGTCTGAGTTTAAGAATTACTCTAGAGCCAGATTTCAGCATACTCTAATGCCCATTTACATGGCTCAGCAGTTAGTGTTTCCTAAAGACCATGTTACTAGCCAGCTTGAAAGTAAAAACATCTGCGGGCTAATTGCATACACCAGTAAGATTTGTATCTTCTGTCCTGTAGATAGCCAACTGCTTTGGCTGGTTCAAACAGAATGTTTTTTTTTGCGAGGGTCCGAGTCTGCCTGCCTTAGTTACACAATTACTAACAGATTCCTCCATCCACGCTTACAAGAATTGATGGGACAAATCCCCTGCAGCTCTTATTGTATTCCGACAGCGGCCTTCAGCCGTCAAAATACCCGAACCGAGCCTGGAGCCTGCTAGCTTCGTTCGGCCAAAGATTTGGCTGGAAGAGTGCCAACAGCGGTACCCACTGTGTAAATTTTGGCCAGTTCATCAAGAAGCGGGCGGAAATTGCATAGTTAATGGCCAGCTTCAGGCTGAGTTAACACCTCAAACTCCTAATAGGCTGGGGGCTCTTAATAACAGAGCATCTCCACCTTCCCTACAAGAGTAAGCACAATTGTTTCGTAGAGAAGGTCTTTAAAGGCAGACTCCCGGAACACAGCACAGTATAAAATCAAGTGTTTTCAGCAGAGGAACTTGCCTAAAATCGATCTCTGCCAGAGTCTCCAGCAGTTCTGTTCTGACAAGCCAGTAAGAGCTGTTCTTCAAAGTGAGCAGATCGATCATCAGCTGTAGCCCGTGTTCACTGTACGTGCTACACAATAGACTGGATATGCAATGCTGGAAAAACAAAAAGCAAGCCATTCAATAATTAAAATCTATAAGAAAAAAAAATAAAAAGAAACAGCATCCTGAAGTATCTGAACCAAACACAGAACAAGGATGGAGGGACTTTCCTTTCAAGTGAACCAGTGTTTGCCTATGCAAAGCAACAGGGTCACTTAAATCATATGTGTATGCATAATATAAAAAACATTTAGCACGGGCACATTCAGTCATATATGTTTCTTTAACAATGCTTTATAATACTTGGGGGGGAAAAACCCCACAGATGATCCTGCTGGAAATGCAGCCAGCCCCTGACTACCTGCAGCACTAAAATAGCAGGAAAGAGGGAGAAACAGCAGGCAGCTGGTATGACAGAGCAGTAAGTTTATAGAGATGAGGTAAGGGAGAGAGGTTCTGTAGCACAATAGAGTAGAATTCAGGCAGGGCTGACAACTTAGCTCGGGATTCCAGAGCAACACTGGCAGTGTGGTCAGGAGTACCTTCAAAATGCTTTGAGGGTAGAGGAAGTCTGACAGTAGTTTTTCAGGACCTGAAGGGACCATGTACCCATTGTTTACTGATATGAGAGAGCCAGCCTCTAGCAAAGGAACAACGTATGTGACAGGCTCCCTGATATGCCTTCTACTCTCTGTCTTATGGGAATATAATTTTGGCTTTCAATAACAAAAGGTGTTTAATATTGCACTAGAGGTTGGCCATTGAGGGACTCTCAGTTGGCAGTAAGGAGGCAGGTATTGCAAAAGCAATTTAGGGAGTGAATGGTGCCCCAAGGTGACGGGGCTGCATCTTTCAGAGGACCTTGCCTGGAAGTCGGAGCCATTTGATAACTGAGCTACTGATAACAAGGTACTCTATGCATGTTTTTTTCTATAAGCTGTGGATAGAGCCCTTATCTAAGCATTGTCAGCCCACTACAGGAGTTTAGGAGCTCACTGGCAAGATCATCAGATATTCTTCAGGCAACCTAACAGGGAGAAATGTTTATGTAATGGAGAGCTGTGCCAAATATGTTTTACCCATTCACTTTCCCTTTACCCAGCAGCACATAGTCACCTTTCCTCTCCAGGAAGAAGCAAAGTAATTCACCGGTACTTCTAGGTATTGGGAACCATGTGACTCCCTCTCCTTCCTCCCATGTGTGTGTGCTGCTACTTAGTGATTGAATCTGGGCCATGTAAGTTGCACTAGTTTGAAGCAGGTAATGGCAACCTTCACAGGTTAGAGCCTCGGCTGCAATAGTTAACAGCCATCATATCAAGTTCCCTTAAAAAAAACATCACCCTGTTAAAACGACTAAACCAGTAATGATCTTATTACTTTCCACCTTTTCCTGATTCTTCTCTTTACTGTATTCTCTCCCTGTCCACATTTTTCTAATTTTGCTGGCCTCGCTGCCACAAGTGATTTGTACATACTATATATCATCCTGGTGAGTTATGAACAAGATCAACTTCACTTGATTGTAGCTGCCAGAAATGTAAAATGCAGTTCACAGCAGACTAAGCAGTGGCATGATTTGCTTTGTTGGAATACACAGGACACACTCACCCTGACTGCCACACAAGTCAGCTTGCAGGTCACAGAAGATTCATCTTTCAGACATTTTTGCAACAAGGGAATGCAATCTTCCAATGAAAAACTATTCCCTGAAAGAAACAGGTTGGTTAGTGGCTGAGATTTGCATCATCAACAACTGCTTTAACAGACTCGGTCACCAATCTAAAAAACTACAGGTACAAGCAGAGAAAATCTAAGTATAGTATTTTAAATGCTTACATGCAGTGCTTTTCCTTTCCATAAATGTTTTTATTCAACTGCACTGTTCCTCGGAACTTGCAAGGAATTTTGTCTACACCAGGAAGAGTCAATTTCCCAAAACAGCCCCCTTCCCTTCTTTCTACATCATAGAACTCTCATCTTCTTGGAGTGTGCCCTACCTTTACCTTCCCGCATAACATTTAAATGGAGCCGCCAAGGGAGGAGTGAAGGGTGATACTATAGAGTGACACTGTAGTCTGCTGACATCACATCTAAGATAGCAGCACCCAGCAGCAATATCAGGCTTTTTGGCATTCTACACAAGGGAGGCTTTTACAAGTAAATAACATGCATAAAATATATTAAATGCACATATAATCTTTTGGGAAGATTTTTGTTGACCTGAATGGTCAACAGGATCTCTTTAACTTATAAAATGTTGAAAACAATGATTTAACCAAAGCAGTTAGTTACCAGAACAGCTTTTAACAATGGCCAGCCAGCGCTCAGCATCATATCGGGACTTGTTGAGGATGGAGAAGACGATAGTACCACATAGAATAGATGTGGCCCCCCTGACCTGAGGGTCCCCATGACTAATGTAATTTAGGATGTCTGAAACATACTGCACATCTGAAATGGAAATACATAGAAGTGAAAATTAAAAACACAGCATATTCAACTATGTCTGTCAAAGAAGATACATTCAGTAGGTCGTGCTGAGTAGATGACATTCAAGAAAGATAGTTTATGGCAAGAGGAAATAAAGCTACCAGATGTTTTGCAGGGCAAGAGCACCAACTCCATGTTTAAAAGGAAGAATTATGGGAAAGAAATACAAATGAAATCTTTATTCCTGGCAGTATTATCAGATTTGTAAAAGTATTGTGAGTTACATAAGCAACTACACAAAACATCTAACTTTCAGGTCTTACAAAGAACCCAACTTAGCGATATGAATGTGGAGCCACAAAAACGTAGGAGCAGAGGTTTGTAGTATAAGGACAAGGAATAGTATTTATTTTTGAAATTTTAATGTCGCTATTTGGCAAACATTCTGATGCCACATATAACCTCCACATGCTACTATATGTATGGAGCATGTAAAGTACTGGAAGGGGCTTAAACACCAACACTCTGCCTGACATATATTAAACTGAAAACGAGTGGTCAATGCCAGTTGCACTCAATCTCTTGACCAGTCATACCCTGGAGATTATAAAAACTACTGTATGTGGTCTTTAAAAATGAGATAGAGGGTCCATTACCTGTTGGCTCCATAGCGTCTGTCTGCAGCTTGTACAGCTTGTTGAAGAAGGCCTCAGGATACAAAGCGACAGCTGCCCCTATACAGCTCAATGCCAGTGCTTTCACACTCACCCGCACATCTCTGTCTGGTACAAGAGCTGGACAAGGGGAAAAAAAGCCACACAAACACACAACTAGCAAATATCACATGACAGTAAATGGCAAAAGAATCAAGTAGATCTTAAATACATATGAATACAAAATAAAAAAAAAACCCATTATGGATTGAGTTTTGGAGGCTTTATTCAATATATAACAACCAAGTCACTGGAGGGTCCACTTGCATTTTATAGCAGCTGAGCATTCACTTATTTCAAGACATTGGGGCTCTCTCTCTGTATCCTCAAATAATGGACTGGGTTCAAGAATTGTGTAGTCTTACGAGAATGGAGAATCTAATTGGCAAATCTACACGATACATAGGAACAGCATAATGCCAGTAGAGGATCTTGGACCTTATATATCCAAAACTCACATTTACAAATCTAACTGAAATGAGGCGATGATGGTTGACCTCTCTGCTGTTCTAGTGAGGATCAGAACATGTTGGGACATTTAGTATTTACAGTATTCTTAGACACTGATCTTGCTGTTACTAGTGCTTCTCGACCATAATGTTGGGGCCGCCTGTCCTCTGCACGTGCTTTTCCCTTGAACCTTATCTTTTTGCTGTACTATATGTCCCACTATCTCCCTTTCTGGCGGGTGGTCACTGGACTTTGTCTCCTGTTGGACCATAACCTGAAGTAAACGTTCTATATTCTCAGCTTGACTGCAGTTCCTGGAACCGCTGGCCTGAAATCTGGCCTGATCTACTAAGAAAGTTTACAATGGTCTTATGTGTTTGCCAAAAATTCTTTCAAAACTTTTTTTTGCATAAAAAATAATGAATAGGCCTACGCAGAAAAAGTTTTTTTTCCCTGTTAAACTCAACCTTTGCTTAGCCCATGAAGGTAGTGACCTATTTAAACCTCTCTAGCTTCCAAGACAGCAATGTAACAATTCGATTTCTTACCACCCTTCTGTCCAGTGAGCAAGAAGGAAGCAGATAACAGGCGAACGCAGTGAACAAGGGGAGCAGCATTTCCATCTGTGTAGTGTCCAATATCTCCTTTTATCCGAGACGGCTTTAATAAGACAAGAGCACAGTAACAGTTCTCTATAGGACAGCAGCAATCAGTTTTAAACAATGACGCTCAGACTATCTCTCACTAAGAAGAGGTATATTACTGTGCTAACTACTTAGAAATGTAGTACCTTATTCTCCAGGTCGCCAGGCTCCACCACTTCCTCCTTTGTTACAAAGCGATCCACGCTGCTATCAGATGATTGGCGGCTGTGGCCCAAGGATTTTAGTAAATGACTCTGATTCAGCCCTTTACAAAAATAATGAAAATGCGTTCTATAATATTACTCCGGGAAACTGTCAACACTGCTACAGACTTCTCTCATTACTTTCAAGAAAGTTGCCTCTGTAAACTCCTCTTCTTGGAGTGTCCCCTACCTTTACCTTCCCGCATAACATTTAAATGGAGCCGCCAAGGGAGGAGTGAAGGGTGACACTATAGAGCAGGGGTGCCCATTAGGTAGATTGTGATCTACCAGTAGCTCTCAAAGCTGATCCTGGTAGATCACGAAGGGTGTGAATGGCGGCCCCTTTTATTCCATTTTGGTATATTTATTTAGCTGTGCACACATGATTACCTATTAGCCTGAGTCTGCTGAGCCAAGCTCCCTGACACCTTTCTGGTGCTTGAAGTGCTATGTATTACATCAAAGAATATTAGTTTACACTAACCCCTTAACCCCTGCAAAATATGTAAAGGAATGACCTCTGCATGAGCCTCCAAACTTAGATTACATTAAGCAACACCCTCCCTCTTGACATCTAGCATTAGATGACGTGCGTGACTGCAAGTTCTCAGTCTGGGCTGTCACAGTGACCAACCAGAATGGTTCCTGATCATATGATCAGTGTGCCAGCTTTGAGAGTGGTCATATGCAGGCTGAAGCCTTCATTTATAAAATAGGCCTGAAGAGGTCAATGCAACCTGAGGATGGCAGTGTGCCTTTGTCCAATCAAATAAAAGATAGCAAAAAATGTACATAACATTTAGTCATAAAGGGATGGTAATGTTAACCAAAGCATGATGACTTATTTTGATTTTGGCAACCAGGCTTTAATGACTTCTGGTCATGAAAGAGTTGAAAGAAAATTGCCACAAAATATGAAAAGATGCGCAAGTCATTCAACAGGTAAAACTTGAGTCTATGCAAATATAATTTAAAAAAAAAATGCTTTTCAATTTAGCCAAAAACCCTGACTGGTGCCCCATCTAAAATCAGCCACCTTCAATCAACAGCAATTTAAAAGCAAGAACCTACCAAGAGACATGTTCCCAAAACGATCGACCAACTCTTCTTGGTGGATGATCGCTCCTTCGTCTTCCTCGTCCTGGAGCTGCCCAATCTGCATGCCGGAATACAGGTTCTCAGCACCATCGATTACCTATGAAATCAGAAATAATGGACGATTTCTACTAATAGCACAATGAAAATTCAAAGACAAACGCGGTGTGGCATCTCACAACACACAACATGGAAGCATAACAAGGGGAATGCAATATCATGGGGTGTAACAGCAATATCAGAGTTTTCACACCAGTCTCTCAATGACCTGTTCAGTTTCAGAAAATGGTTTACATGGTCCTCTTCATCAGGCTCAGAGTAGAGTAGAGCCTGATGAAGCCTGATGAAGAGGACCCTGTGCAGCCCCGAAAGCACTTGATATTCTGAGTGACATCAATAAATGGATTTGCACTGACTTAAATTCAGTCATGCTGGTGTGCTAATGACATCTATATTTAAAGTTGCACTGTGTGCGCCGCCATCCGCTGTCATTTCTAGCATCCATCAATACTTTGGGATTTCGGGTAAGGAGTGCTACAAGATATGGCTTTAGTATGTACATTTTCCTGTAAGCTAGTCAAGGCAGGGACTGAAATAAATTGCTGCATAACCTCAATATATGTAAAAGAAAATAGTTCCAAGAAAAATATGATGGCTTCCATTGCTTCCCTCAGCTAGAGCACAAGCATTCTAAACAAAATCAGTACTGGCAACGTCATACTATCGGAAACTGTATAAGGTTAATTGCTCTTTAACTCTTCATCCCAGCAGCAACTGAAGCCTAGATGACCAGGCCAAATTTAGCAGAGTCAATGAGTCGGTTAACTCTGAATCAATTTGCCCACCTAAATAGTTGACAAATTTCATTAAGAACCTATAAATGATTTCATTTGGTACTCTTTTTTTCAAACTTTTTTTTAAAAATAAAATAATTGTATCACACTATTACAATATTAAACAGAGGCGTAATGCTATCTACAGGCTGCAGTTGTATCTGCAAGCTTTTCTCAATGAAGTCTTCACCATCTCACAATCAGTAAACTAACGTGATTGGTTCCCGATCTCTAGTGGGGAACGAAGTGGTCAGTGACTGCTGGATTTAAACAGCTAGCAGCCATGCAAAGTGTCAGCTAGTAGCTGTCAAAATGTCTAAACATATCCTCAGCTAGGGACTGCAGGAAAGAATGGGTTAAACAAAACTGAAACCTTCTCTTCAAATGCAGTCATCATATATAGCAGACGAAAGTATTGAGTTTTATTGAACTTTTTATTCTAGCCAGTTGGCAAATCATTGAGGACTGATTTGAAACAGAATTTAAAATAATTGCCAAAATTAAAGCGTGCTTTCATGCAAATGGCTCTCTTACCAATGTTGAGACCCCAACTGTCTTATTCAGTGATACAAAGAGCAATGCATCATGTAACATGTTACATATTTTAAAATAGATTTCTGATCTTCCTGTAAATTTTTACTTGCACTGCTTTACTGAATAAGCCAGCAAATGCTGAGATGCCACTGCTCTGGAACAGCAAATCTGCCAATCTAGGAAACCTCTACTCTGGCCAATAATCACCCCACCCCCAAGAAAAAGAAACCTCGCTTCAAAGCCTTAAGAACAAAAATAGTGCAAAAGATGCAACTAGCAATATATGGAGATTAAAAGGCTCCAATATTGCCTTTCAGCATCATGCAATGCTATCCTCACTAGGAGGTCATGCTCTCAGAAAGAGGTATGCTGACCTTTTCAAAACTATTGGCTGACAGTGAAAAGGAGGATGATGAATAGATTGATGTGTCCAGCTCGGGGCCCTCCATGGAGGAACTCTGAGACATGTCCGGCCCTTCAGTAGAAGACCGTGATACCCCCTCTGCCCGCTGCACACTTACAATTTCCGAGCTGTCCGAAGGGGTGACAGCAGAGTCTGGACCTTCTGTGGTGGTCTGAGAGCTGTCGCTCACTGGTGAGGAAGCCTGGGTGGTTCCCTCATTCAGGTCCATGTTGGCGTCAGACTGGACAGTGCTGATCTGACTGGAACTGCGGCTTAAAATGTCTTCCTCGTCCCCCTCTGTAACAGTGCTGGGGACATCCGAGTTGCTGAGATCTACAGAGTCAGACTGCAAAGTGTGTTGGGACCGTGGTTGCTCAGTGATGATGTCATGAGCTGAAGAGTCCAGAGTGGCAGCAGATGCTGCAGTAGGGACACCAGAGGATGTAGCCACTTCAGAGGAGCCTTCCTTCTTAGACCCAGCTTGAAGGAAGAAAACAAACTAATGTTAGAAACATAACATTTCAGGTTATTCCACTATTGTTCAGATGGAGGAAGACGATCAACACATTTTTATTTATCATCTGGCAGGTTGATAGCAGGTGTACATACACTATACTGCCAAAAGTATTGGGACACCCCTCCAAATCATTGGATTCAGGTTTTCCGTGAAATTTCCTTGCTACTAAAATCTTCCACGGTCAACTGTTAGTGGTATTATAACAAAGTGGAAGCAACTGGGAACAGCAGCTACTCAGCCACGAAGTGATAGGCCACGTAAAATGACAGAGCGGGGTCAGCGGATGCTGAAGCGCGCAGAAGTTGCCAATTAACTGCAGAGTCAATAGCTACAGACCTCCAAAACTTCATGTGGCCTCCAGATTGGCACAACAATATTGCGTAGAGAGCTTCATGAAATAGGTTTCCATGGCCGAGTAGCTGCACCCAAGCCTTACATCACCAAGTGCAATGCAAAGCGTCGGATGCCGTGGTGTAAAGCACGCCGCCACTGGACTCTAGAGAAGTGGAGACGTGTTGTCTGGAGTGACTAATCATGCTTCTCTGTCTGGCAATCCGATGGACGTGTCTGGGTTTGGCAGTTGCCAGGGCAACGGTACTTGCCTGACTGCATTGTGCCAAGTGTAAAGTTTGGTGGAGGGGGGATTATGGTGTGGGGTTGTTTTTCCGGGGTTGGGCTTGGCCTCTTAGTTCCAGTGAAGGGAACTCTTAAGGCATCAGCATACCAAGACATTTTGGACAATTTCAAGCTCCCAACTTTGTGGGAACAATTTGGGGATGGCCCCTTCCTGTTCCAACATGACTGCGCACAAGTGGACAAAGCAAGGTCCATAAAGACATTGACGAGCGAGTTTGGGGTGGAGGAACTTGACTGGTCTGTACAGAGTCCTGACCTCAACCCGATAGAACACCTTTGGGATGAATTAGAGCGGAGAATGCGAGCCCGGCCTTCTCGTCCAACATCAGTACCTGACCTCACAAATGCGCTTCTGGAAGAATGGTCAAACATTCCCATAGACACACTCCTAAACCTCCTGGACGCTTTACCAGAAGAGTTGAAGCTGTAATAGCTGCAATCGGTGGGCCAACTCAATACTGAACCCTACGGACTAAGAATGGGATGCCATTAAAGTTTATGTGCGTGTAAAGGCAGGCGACCCAATACTATTGGTAATATAGTGTATATTTAGTTAGCTGCTTGAGCACCCTGAGCCTCCAAAACATGGGATGTTCTTATAGGAAAATACCAACTTTATTTGCAAGGTTTGAACTTTGCCTCACCACTGACCATGTCTCTACTGGCCCACATTTAAGATAGGCAACCTCAAAGGCCATTAATAAGACCTCACAGGTAGAATAGGATAGGACCAAGTAAGGTCAGAATGTGCACAATAACCCCCCCGCCCCAGGTTTGGGGCTCCGAGGCAGCTTAGTGAAAGCAGCTGAAGGTGTCCAGTTACTACTGCACCCCATTTCATGCATAACAGGTTTAAAGTCAGACCAGATTTAGGACACTCACTTACCAATCCCAACACTTTTTGCAACTGACCTGTAAAAGGAGCAGTGGTGGCATCAGACTTGCCTTCTGCCTCATCTTCCAATCCTTCCTCTTCTCCCAAGTGCATCTTACCTGATGCATGAAAAAAGGGCACAAACTCAACAAATACAAATACCAAAGTATGATCTACCAAAAATAAAATATGGGTTATACCAATAATGTTACAAAAGAAGCATCAGTTTATCAGCAGAGAATTACTGGCCTGTGAATTCGGCTTAACACACGAGGTGTAGCAGCTCAAGTTCTCACTCTGCATACCTTTAAAGAAGAGCTTTATATTCAAGCAAAAGTATTATACATTTGTAAGGTCAGCCTTTAAACATTTTGTACCTGCAAAGATATACCCAATGCCTTCTTTCTAGTGGGACGAAGAAAAATAATTTTGTAAATACTGACATCTCTAGGATGTGTTAATATTCCACTGCTGTTGCACATTATTCTGTTTCAATCGGCATAGTACCATTTAGTTGCAATGGAAAGAAGAATTCATATTTAATGCAATCTTTAAAAAATATTAAATCATTTAAAAAAAAAAAAATAACAGGGAGAAAGAAAAGGACCTCCTTGTAATGGTCTTAGCAGGAGTACGGATGCGGGGCCACAAGTGCAGAAATCTCACCTTGGAAGAACCTATGGGATATAGGAAACCACCAGGTGGTTTATTTCTCCAGATTTGACTTGATGTTTAAGGAGGAAGTACCCCTAAAAACCTATTTTTATTAAATCTTATTAAAACAAAAGGCTATGCCAGCTGAACAGATACCGAGTACAATTCTGGAAGGGGCAGTGATGCATTTCATGAGGAGGAGGCACCCTCTACATCCTTCCAGATGCTCCCTGCTCATCTTTCAAAGTTGTGGTCGTCAGCATACATATCTAGAAAGAGGTTTCTGTTATACAACTACTGCTCGGCCAAGAAATCTGAACTGGTAGACAGTGGGAGATCCCAGAAGAGAGCAGAATACAGGAAAAAGATTATAGTTCATACTTGCTTTTTATTTACTGGTCATATCAAAAGACTAAGTGCACTTAAGGATCAGATTAGTCAAAACAGAGATGGAACAATTTAGTGTACTTTTTAACCTGCTCACTGCAATACTGCAGACTGAGATATCAGCTTTGGGTTGGCGAAGCCTTTACACTGGACTTACACGGGGACTGTGGTATTCAGCCTGGGAACAGATGGTGTAGTGATCTGGCCATGTACACAAAACCAGCAGATTTTCTAGAAAAGCAATTTTTTTCCGGCTACATAAAATTTCCTATTTATGACAAATGCCCAAATACTGGAAATGCAATAATTATTACAGAAATCTTAACACTACCTCCAGCTCCACACTGTTGTTCAGGGCTGTAGCTACCATGGGGCGAGTGAGGCACTCACCGTTGTGCAGAGACTAAAAATTTGTTTCGGACGAAATGAACGGAAACAAAAAATGTTTTCATTTCAAACGAAACAAATTTTTATGCTATTTTTTATTTGGCCACCAGCGCATTCTGCGCATGCGCTCCGCCATCCTGGAGGCAGGGTGCATGACGTCACATACCGCACAGGTCTGTGGGGGGGCACAATTTTCTGTTCTTACCTCGGGCGCAAAAGGAGCTAGCTACGGCTCTGCTGTTGTTCATGGTTGTGTGATACTGTCCATCCAACTATCTGTTCTGGGAGTCTAATAGGGATGCACAGATACCAATACTAGTATCAGTGCCGATACCAGTATTTAGGTGCGTACTCGCCCAAATGCTCCAATACTTACCTCCGATACCAAAACTTCCTGTCAGAGGGAGAGCTCCCTCGGCAGTGTCGAGGGAGCATGCAGCTGGCTTCCATTCCAATCAGGAAGCCGGGCAGTGGGTTATGACCCGCCTCCCCGATTGGCTAGAAAGCCGGCTTCAAGTGCTGCTAAGCAGCCTAGCTTCCTAACCAATCAGGAAACTGGGTGGCACGTAATGATTCACGTTCCGGCTTCCTGATTGGTCAGGAAGCCATGGTGCCTAAGAACAAGTGACGCTGGCTTCCTAGACAATCAGGAAGTTGGGAGGCGGGTCATGACGTGCCGCCCGGCTTCCTGATTAGCTAGGAAGCTGGCTTCACTTGTTCCTAGGCAGCATGGCTTCCTGACCAATCAGGAAGCCGGGGCGCGAGTCATTACGTGCCGCCCGGTTTCCTGATTGCTCAGAAAGCCAGGCAGCCTTTGAAGCCGATGCTATTTCACTAGAACACTGGCTTCACTGCCAAACAGGAAGCTGGGCGATGGGTCATGATCTGCCGCCTGACTTGCTGATAATCGGGGCCCAATGCACCAGTACTCGCAGTCGGCGAGTACCGAAAAACATATCAGTACTCGTACTGGATGCCATTTGAGTACAGTGCATACTATAGAATGATCACACACCGCCGATCAGTCAGCTCATGGCTTCCCCTGCAAAGAGCAGTGACCATCAGGCACTGCTCCCAGCAGGGATTCCCCCCTCCCCTCTCTCTGGAGAGGCAGAGCCAGCTGTCAAACAGACAGCGTGGTGGATAATAACAATATTGTCAGGGTCTTTCCCGGCTGCAGCACATCTCTGCACTGTCAGCAAATAGAGGGATGTAGATGCTATTTTCTGACTTTAGGTCATGGGAGTACTGAATGTACTCCTGTGACTCAAAAAGAGGACTAAAGCTAAAAAAAGGTTTCACTTTAGTTCTCTTTAAACTGGACTTTAAGAGACAACTGAATGAACTTGCGTCTTCGTGTAAAAGCTCCACTTGGCCACTTGTAAAATGTCTTTTCATAGAATACCCAGACAGTTAAACAGTATAATAAACCTGACTATACCACAGTTCTAGTATGCTAGTTACTTGCCATGGGATAACAATACAAGAAGCTGATTATGGCTAAAGCTTGAAGAGGAAATGGGTACAGTAAAGTGTAAAATGAAGTCGAAGGGATGGCTGTAGGAAATGCAAATAATCACCTTTTTGTTTCCTGGACAGAGCAGGACTGCAGGCAGAGCTCCCGCCGGCTGCAAATCACAGAATGGAAGAGTGCAGAGAGATTAATAGGGGGGGGGGGGCATGCAGCTCAGCAATCAGATTTAAAGAGGAACCTTAGCGCATGGATCACAGTAAGATCAGAAGACAGGTTACTTAATTCTCATGCAAAGCAGTGGATAATTATCAAGGAATTAGTAAGGATTAGATTGGCCATTGCAGAAGCTGATTTCACAGTCACTTAGGTTGCCAGAATCCTCATGTAACCATCTTTTTTCTATTCTGACGCATGCTGTGAATTAAACCTTGTGTACGATAAGCAGATGAGGGTACTACACGTTATCTACATGTAGCAACCTCAATTAATTAGTTAGGAAGAACCAAAGACCACCACATGTTGGATAATCTTGCCTGGCAAAAAGAAGGAATATCAGACATTCCGGTTTGATGTAGGCAAAGTGCACATTTGTTATATCCCAGTGTATATGATGGTTTTGTCTGGCTGACCTGTTGCTTGCCTATATTGGATATTTTTAGCTATCTGGTAGCGATTAGCCCTGAATTAGGCCAGTCCTGTGGTATCCGGCTGCTTTTTTTTCATCAATGATAAAAGCAGCTTTGTGCAATCTGAGTATGCATGATGAGGAAAAGTATGCTCAGGAAAAGTCAGTGACTGAATCATGCATTTCAGATTGTCCCCTTTAAAAAAAAAAAATGCATAAAAAACAATTTATAGTACACAGATATAAAGCTTACAGTATGATAGCATCTACTGATGTATATGTAAACCTTAACAATAAACTTCTTATTTGCTCTTTTTTCTGTAAGAAAGCACAGTACCGTTAAAAGTGGTAACAGTGTCCGTTTCAAACATACCTGCTGGTGCTGCCAGAAATCCAGTGCTGCCTTGTGCAGTCTGCATTTCTTATCTCAAGCATTGCTATCGGAAGGTGTGTTAAGGACTAGAGAACACCTCCCCTAAAAGGATATGGGGATATAGGGAATTGTTCTGTGTGCTAGGGTGACTACACTACTCCTCGATATGTATGATGTAGTGAGTGAGTGTTGTCACTCTAGGACAGAAATTGTGTTACTGGCAGGATCAGCAGGTGAAAATAAAGGAAAAATAAGCCTGAAAAAAGGAAAACCTTAAGGCCATGTTCACACCGAATGCAGAGCAGATCTGCATGAGTTTCTGCACACGCAGCGCAGTGGGTTGTGCAGCGTTTTTGATGCGTTCCGGGCCATTTTTGGTTAAAAAAAAATTAATAATTAAAATGGGCTAAAAACGTCTAGGCAGAGGGAGAAAACGCTAGAAGCAATACACTTGATCCTCTCTGTAGTGAATACCAGCAATTAGAGGAATTGTATGCCCCAGATAGCTTTAAGAGGCAGTTCATTTAATACGAACACCGTATATCACTTGCCTATGAGCTCCACAATGCTACCACTGCGGCTACGGTTTTGAGACTCATCTCGACAAATGGTGACATGCTGAATGCCTCCAGAACATGTCAGGACATTGAGCAGCTCAATAGGAGGCGTCCTGAATATCTGCTGCAACAGCTCCAGAGCACCCGTCACCACATTATGATCTCTGTGCTGAGTATAATGTAATGTCAGTTCATAAACCTGAAAAAAAGAAAAACAAAAGAGTGATCAGTCAGTTCCGAATGGGTGTCCATAAATACTACAAATGATCTCCTCTGGGTTTCTGTTACAAGTTAATGATCTCCCGGAGAGTAATGAAGAGTGCCTTCAATGGCTGAAGGTCTTCATAACCATAAAGGGAGATTTTCTGAATGAATGGAATCCCTCCTGTAAGTGACTCAATTATCAGCTTTGCTAATCAGTATAGCAAAGGCTCAAAGTACACGTTTATACTATAGTCAACATTAGGCAAAGTATATAGTGCATAGACATCTCCTGCCCATATATGGCCACTTTTAGTCCGACTGCCAAACCACATTACAGAGAACAGAAAAATGCATATTTTCAGCAAACAATAAGAGTAAAGCTGGCAATAAACCTAATAATTTTTTTCGTTCAACCCGCGGACTGAACAAAAAAAAAAAATTGACCCGATTCCTCAATTAACAGCATGTCGATCGAGGAATCTCGCTGTTTACATTGTATTCTGACAGGTGCCGCCGACACCTGTCAGAATACACAGCTAGAGCGGGCAGCTCATTGGCTGCCGGCTCTGATCGCTCTATAAATTTCCAACTGGCTCCTTCGATCAGCTGATCGAGGAATGCCGGCTGAAGGGGAGCCGATAGCCCCACACACTGTGCAAATTTCATCCAGTACATTAAAAACCGGTCGAAATTCGACCAGTGTATGGGGACCTTAAAGGGGAGAGACGTTCTTTATCGGCCATGTGGCAGGGTAGTAATAACCTGTTTACCTGTGTTAGCTGCTCTCGAGATGGCGATATTTCAGCTTCTTTTCTGGTAACCCCAAAGCTGCCTTTGAGACTTGTGTCCTTCACTTGCTGTTGTAGTAATGGGATCAGGTAGCGTAGTGTTAATAAGACTCCCAAGATTAAGAGAGTTGGCTGTTCATCTTCAATAGGAATGAGAAGACCTGCAGAGTCCAGATATGCAAGAGATGAACATAACCTGTAGTTCAAATCACTGAACTGGTTGGATTTAAGTGAACATGATGGATAACAATGTTTAACAATTCTGAACTGCAGTATGCCCTTATGTGCTTCTACTTTTACTTAAATCCGAACTCCAGGCAAACCACTAAATAAATAAATGAAATGCATATATGGGCGCTTTTTAGCTTGCCAAAGGATTTCTATTTCCTCCCATTTCTGTTCTGAAATTAGCCTTGCGAGACAGTACAGCCATGTTGGTGGCCTCTTTTCTAGTGCACTTAAAAAAAAGAAAATTATATCCCTGGACCCTGAAACTTTAAAAAACAAGCTAGCATTGGCAGCACTGGGAGGGGACTTTTTTCATTTAAAAATTGCTATTACATTGGAGCCCCTATGCGAGAGCACATTACTGACAACAGTTGTTCTCTTTAAGGAAACATTAGAAGTCTATGTAGAATGGAAAGTGCAGTGTGGGTTCAGGTGCATTTAGATTGCTTTCAAGAATAATTTGAGATGTTTTTGAATGCCATCTAGGTTCCGTCACAGGTGCTGCTGACTTGTATTTGAACTCCTTTTGACATGAAGTTGGCCTCCTAAACTGCATCAAGCTGCTTTGCTATTCCCATTGACTTTGGAGAGAAAAACAATTCTGATGCAAACCGAAGCCCACATGCACAGGCCCTATCATTTCAATATTTTGCATAATCCTCTGCAATGAGAACGTTTCCATGGAAGATTACCCAGAAGGACGTTGAGAAGCCACGTGTAGAAATACTGCGTTCTCCGGGAATGCTGGCAAATATGGACGGCAGAACCAGCTGCTGTGCGGCGGATTGTGGGAGAACTTGATTTTAGATTGGCTACAAAAGCTTTTAGCATAACCTGTAATATACAAACACAGGGTAATCATACAAAACAGCACATACAGCAAGCAACATACAAGTACATGAAATGAACTCTGTAAGCACTGTGCCTGTTACCTCTCAGCGATGTCCCAAAAGCCACCCACTGACATTAGATGGTGGTGGAAGCACAATCCAGGAGAACCAAATAACTTTTGTCAAAAGATACAGTATATGGCCAAAGGTTTGGACCCTCACACCTATATGAGCTTGCTGGATATTCCACTACAAAACCATGCCCATTAATATGGTGTCGACTCCCCTTTGAGGTTAGAACAACTTTCACTCTTCTGGGAAGGCTTTCTGCAAGATTTTGTAGTGAGTCTGCAGGAATATGTGCCAGAGCATTTGTGAGGTCAGGAACTGATGCAAGATAAGAAGGCCTGGTTCCCAATAAGTGTTCCAATTTCTCCCATTGATAGGGTTGATGTCAGGGCTCTGTTTGGGACAGTTTAGTTTCTCAACACTGATTCATTACACCGTGTCTTTATGGATTTAGCTTTGTGCAACAGGACATAGTCACAATGGAACCTGAAAGGCACCTTTGCCACAAGGTTAGAAGTGCAAAATTGCCTAAAATGTCTTTGTATGCCATAGCATTATCTGTTTCACTGGAAACACCTGAAATGAATAATTGGGAGGGGGTGTCCACTAACCTTTGGTTATATAGTGTGGGTGTAATGATTTAGTGTCCACTAGACTTTGGTTATAAATCTAGGTTTGATGGCCAGGTGTCCGCAAAATTTTGGTCATATAGTGTAGATTTCTCTCTCTATTAACTAACATGTTTGGATTATCTGGGCACGCATGCTTTCGTGTATAAAGAAGATACTGCTGAACACCTATGGAACCCATTCAGATTCACTGCAATCTACATTACAGCTCAGGAAAAAGTATGCCAGACTGGGCAGCTTCCTCCTGACGCTTTTCACGCACACACATATTGCTCCATAACAGATTCCCTTTGCTTGGCCTAGCTGTTATCTGACACAGATGAAATTTCCATCCATTGCTGAAGGCTGGCCAACTCCTGGGTGCAGTGCTAGCTTTCAAGCTCGAGCCTCATGCAAGAGTCCCATATACTAAAAAACACATCTGGTCTGCCCTCTATGCAAGCAGACAGGTCCTGGTAATTAGGATTCGGCCAATTCAAAGATACGACTAGCAGATAGCCAGCTTATAGCTATTGACTATTAGATTATAGATATCTAAGCCAATTAATTTCAGTATCATTCTGAAGTGATCCAGCTGATCTGCTGACATTAGAGGTTGCTCCTTTATCAATGTGAAAAAGCTGTTCTCAGCATATTAAAGTGCTCGGGAGAGAGAATACACTGATGTATGCAGGTCAGCCAGCCTCTTATCTCAATATACTGCTGAAATTGATAGAGACTTGGTGAAAGGGTTGAGCTAACATCTAAAAGCTTTTTTTGGTTTATGTAAAAATGCCTTCCAAAAATTAAATGTGCATCTTTACAGCTGCACATAATTATGATACTATCTACCGTTTCTGATAAACTCCCCCCAATGAGTTGTATCACGTTAAAACATGTTTAACGTGATACAACAAGCAAAGGTCTAATGCATGCCAATAAATTACCTTGATTTCATGGTCATTTGCAAAGTTTCCAAAAGCAGCCATGATTTTTGGAATAGCAGCAGCAAGTGTCTCCTGTACCGATTCTTCCTGGCGCTTACATATTTTTGTGAGACAAGGAAGCAAGTTCACCAAGTAAGGCCTGGTAACACAAGAAAAGAGAAGACTCATATAGACAGCAATGCACAAGATAGGGAGGGTCATAAAATGATAAATACGTGCTCCACTGAAAGCAGCTTACATCTAAACCAGGGGTAGCCATACTCCGGCCCTCCAGCTGTGGTGGAACTACAAATCCCACGATGCATCTCTCTCCGGGAGTCATGTCTGTAGCTGTGAGAATCTCGCAATGCCTCATGGGATTTGTAGTTCCACAACAGCTGGAGGGCCGGAGTTTGGCTACCCCTGATCCAAACTAAAGCTGGCCATACACTCTCTTGTATAGTGAAATCCATTGATTTCCCCATCCACACTGCCAACTATTGTATTTACCTACCACTGCTCCAGCGGCTGCTGAATAACCAGACAGGCATCTAAATCGGACAAGGTCCTCAAACAAAAGTTGACTGCAAAATCAACTTTTGTCGAGCGGAGGGGTGCTGGAAGGACCACCCACGGCTTTAATTTTGCTCCATGCATGGCCAGCTTTTTCAAATATTATACTGCAGGCTGTCATAGAGTTGATAGAGTTGGAGACCAACTCTATCAATGAGTGAAAAGTCCAATTCAATAGGAGCCACCATACCTTCAAAAGCTGGGTACACACTGATTAAATGTTGGCTGATTCAGCAGGTGGCTGGCTCTTTGTCATTGACAAAAGTGGATCATTAGGTTGATTTTTGTCCAAGGGACAAGCTGGAAAATTGTCGGCCAAACAGTGCTTGAAGCCAATCGGAATACAATGTACACAGCAGGAAATCTGTCCATCCACGCTGTTAGTGTGGATGGACGGACCAGTCATATTTTTTTTCTTTCAGGCTCACATGCTTAATGGAAAAAAGCTTTCCGTGTCTTCCCAGCTTACGAATATTAATCAGAGGAGGATGTGCAGCAAGAAGGACTTAGCTCTTCACCTGCACTTTTAAAGCCCCAGATGTTCATCCATCCTCAGCTTTCTTGAGATCTTACCACTACAAGCCTGTTACCATTGGTTGTTTGCGAGTACATTTTAGCTGTTTTTAATATTGAATAAAGTAGTTTTTACACTATGGAGTCACTCCTTTTGCTTCGCTTCTGCTAGATACCCAGTTTCCCTGACTGTGAGGAGCTGCCCTATGTCTCTGGAGTTCTCCCTCTTTTGACAAGGACGGTTTTAGTATGTTCACTTTTAAAAAGGCACAGAACCATTTTGCCACACAAACCTCATAATTTTAAAGTAGGGCAGACAAAGAAATAATACAAACATTTTATAGATCATTGGTTTTAGATATATGCAGCCCTCCCAGCTTCTATTAACAGGATATCTTTTAAAAAATCCTGCCGTTATAAAACTATGGAAAAGCCTTTGTGGAGTCTGGGATAGACTTTAACCCTTTCGCTTAAATGTTCCGGAGGGCTTGGCAGCGAAAGGGTTAAACAAAATCAGTCTTTGAATGTGGCAGCCCTAACTGAGCAGGACAATAAGTGGTAGTAGGGGGAAAATGGCATTAATGGGTCTTCACAGTGCAATACAAGATATGTCATCTGCAACAAGGGGGGAATATAAAACAGATAGCCCCAGCAATATGTATAAACAATCTGAACCATGCAAGTGGTCAGATCAAAAGAGCCTTTGGGTGCTTAGCAAACACTAGGGAGCTATAGGCTTTATCTGGTGAAACAAATCCACAAGGTGTGTGTGATACACTTATTATCTACCTTTGGCAGTAAGAAATCTTTTTTTCTGCCTCCACACGCCACGATAAGGAATGCCCTTTAATTTTCACACCTTTTATGCTTTAGAGGGAAACCACCTCCTATTCTTACCACCCTCCTGCTTGCCTCCTCCTCCTGATTTGTCTTGGCTGTGTTTTCTTACCTGCACTTCTGAGGTCGAACGAGGTGTGCCAGTTCAGCAAACCTCCAGAGGGCAGCTCTGAGGCTCCGCGGGGCACCGTTCTATAAACAGAATTCAATGCGAACGGTGAAACATATAAAACACATCTTCAAGTATTTTATATACAAAATCTAGTGTCTTTCCTGTGTATTAGGCATACATCTATCATCCCAACCTTAAAAAAATTTACCTATATCAAAGTCCTATTTATTTCTTTATTTTTAATAGAACTAGTGATTTCGTGTTACTAAAAGAAAATGGTCTGGACAGAGGGGCGGGCAGAGAGCGAGCACAGACAGAGCATGTTGTAGTTGACATACTGATCACATGATGGGGAACCACTTTTAATCGGTTGCTTAGACTGAACCTGTAAGTGATGGGTGTGTTTCAGAACACAAAGTATTAGGCGGTAGCTGTCTAACGAAGGATATTTCTGAACATTAGCTGAACAGAGCGCATTGTGCCGAGGAATGCTTGAACTTAATAATCGGCTAACTAATCGATTTTGAAAATAATCGTTAGCTGCAGCACTACATATATTCACTGTAGGTGGACCAGTAGGTTCTCTGATATCATGAATAGTGCATGTAAAGTCAAAACTATCGTTCAGGTTCTTATTGCCATCTAGGTCCTGATTCACCTTCCCTATTTGTACTGAAATGGAAAAAAAAAAAAAAAAACAACAACAGGGCATTAAAAGAGAACTATGGGGTAAGTGTTTTTCCCCATAGTTCTCTTAAGGGTCACAGGAGGACATATACTAGCGTTCTCCCGTGTCCCAAAGATTTGAATGTTTAGCCAGTTACAGCTCGCGTCATACTGAGACCGCAGCAGCTGGGACGGATCCCGACAAAACTGTCTGGATCCACCCAGCTGCGTGAGTGACAGCTGGCTCTGCCTATCTAGAGGCAGAGGCAGCTGTGCCTGCTCCATCCCCGTGTGTTCCTCTACTCAGTGCTGGAGGATCGGAGCAGGGAGGGGGAGAATCCTTCCGGGGAGTGGTGACTGACAGTCACTGCTCTCTGCTGGGAGATGACCGTTAAGGCTGGGTTCACACCTAGGCGTATCGAATATGCGTGTTTCGTGCCGCGCGGTTTTACCACAATTCGCGGTTAAAAAAACCGCTCGACAAACGCGCGTTTCCGAGGGCAACCTGGGTGTATCCCAATGGATACGCACGGCAAATACGCCCCAAAGAAGCTCCTGTACTTCTTTGGGCGTAGGACGTTTTGCAATGTGTTCCTACGATACACAATCATTGGTTTTCACATGTTGAGCGTTTTACAGAGCGTAGGAACGCGCTGTAAAACGCCCAGGTGCGAACCAGGCCTAAGTGAGCGAGCGACCGCATGCGTTTTTTCACTCACCTCATAGTTCTTTTTTTTTTTTTTTTGAAAAATCTTTTTATTCATTTTGCATAGTAAACAATTACATTACAGTAACATTCGGGCACCAACATAGCACCCCATTCATACGCAACAGTGTATACATTACGGCATAACGTATGCCAACAACCGTAAAGGACCATGCAAGGTCCAATAACTAACCCTCTGACCATAACCCTCCCCCTCCCCTAGGCACAGGTAAATTATTACAATATAATTACAATCAATCCACCCCCCACCCGCTCCCTGATGTGAACCTTACAGCCAATCTCTTAAGCGCTTCCCAGAAAGATGCAGAGTACCAGATTCAGTCAAAGGCAGTTAAAGAATATATATCGGGAGTGGATGGATTCCCTATGCTCTCACCACAATCCCATCCTTGTACAACATTACCTCCCCTAAAATTCCAGGAAAGCCATAACTCTCCCTCTAGGCATCCCCCTACCAGGTTTGCAACCACCATTCGGATGCCATAATTGTGTACCTAGTCTGGTAGTGTTGCGTCAGACTCCATCCAGATGGACCAAATTCTATCAAACTTTTGAGGACACCCTCTGCTAGCGTAAGTGGCTTTATGCAGTGGCAAAGCTGTGTTAACCAGTGTTTTCCAAGCCCCCAGACCAGGCGGTTCAGATTTCCTCCAGTGGAGGATAAGAAGCTTCCTGGCGTAAAATAACAGATATGTAAGTAGTGTGCGGGACGCCACCGAGGGTACAATATCGTCAATGAGTCCCAGTATACATATTTGGATATTCGCAGCAATGGGGATCTGCAATAACCCCGAGGCCACCTCCATTACTCCCCTCCAGTAGGTCTCGAGTCTAGGGCAGGACCACAACACATGCACCAGATCAGCCGGCTCCCAGGGACACCTCCAGCATCTAGAGGATTCTGTGGATCGCATAGTAGCAAGTCTGGCCGGCGTGTAGTAAGCGCGATGAACAATTTTTAATTGAATTAACCTATCCCGTGCGGAGATCAAGGTGGTCATAGGTGTGCCCCATATCTCCTCTACATCCTCCAAATCCAGATCCGAACAGTCATGCATCCAAGCGCCAAAAAAATCCTAAAAAAATACTTTATGTACGTCAATAAATAGACGTAATCGATTTATTATTGGAGTGCCGGTGTCTATTTCTTTTCTGCATTACTTTGACGGTGGCCATCCGTCGACTACTGAGCACCCAGGATACTTTGTTGGACGTGCGGTCAGGAGTGCAATGGGTACATGGACTGTAATCTGCACAGATTGAAGGCACTGCATGCAAAATGCAGCAAAGCAGTCCGAAAACATAAGGGAGCCTCCTCCATGTTTCACAGTAGGTATATTGTTCTTTTCTTTGTTGTTTTTCTGGGGTTTTTTTTGATTAACAGCCAAAATCTCCAGGTTTGTCTTGTATATCTAAAGGAGATTCTCCCTGAAGCACTGTGCCTTGTCAATATGCATTTTAGCAAATTTTATTTAATTCTTTCAAAAGTGGAGGTCCGCCTGGGTCTTCTTCTTTTGAGTCCACAGTTGCTCAAAAAGAGACAGATAGTGTGATCAGACACTGATGTACTTTGACCTTGGGGTTCAGTCTGTATCTCTTTAGAAGCTTTTCCTGGCTCATAGTCAGCCTTCTGCACTTTCCTTCTGTTTAATCTGTGGTTGATCTTCCTCTTGCAGCCACTTCCAGGAAGGGGGGGGGCATGGATGGGGGGTTGCCTAAACTCTCCTGAAACTTAAACTTCTTATTTACATTCACAAATGTGGTCACATGAACATCTAGTTGCTTGGAAATAGTCTTACAGGCTTGACTAAAGGCTGGTCTATCATTTTCTTTCTCGTCAGACAACTTTCTTTTTTTTTGTGGTTCATGCTCACGATGATACCAAACAGTAGACATGTGCACTGCCAAAAAATTTGTTTCGTTTCGTTTTAAATTCGGATTTGTGTTATTTCGTTTTTCAGGATTCGGGTGTGAAAGTGAATTCGGATTCGGAATTCGGATTCGGACGAAATTCGGTAGCGTTAGTACGAACGTTCGTTTCGTTTTCTTATTCGTTTCGTTCGTTTGCAGCAAAAGTGACATTTGAGGGGGAAAAAATATTTTTCTCCTTCTCTAATGTCACTTTGCTCCAACGAACGAAACGAATAAGAAACGAATAAGAACAGAAAACGAAACGAACGTTCGTGCGAACGCTACCGAATTTCGGAAATGGAAATTCGGATTCGTTTGCATTCGTTATGTCTGTAATTCGGATACATCCGAATTTACGAAAATTCGTCCAAATTTCGATTCGGAACGAAACGAATCGCACATGTCTACCAAACAGTAGAATGACTACTTTTCTCCATTTAAATAGGCTGACTGACTACAAGATTGAAGACTGAAATAATCAGTATAATCTGATTTATTTATAATCCTTTCTAGGGGTGCCAACAAATTTGTCCAGGCCATTTTAGAATATTTTTGTAGAATAAGCATTCATTTATCTGTTTTCACACTTCATTTGCATTACTCTATGACATACCAAATAGAGAGAGATCTCAACATCTTAACACAACCTATAAGAACTCACCTTTTTTATTTCTTTGTACAGCTCAAGCTGTAGCCTTGGAAGGTTTGAATCCATCAAAGCCTGTGATAGGAGGACATAATGAGAAATAAACCCATCAATAGATTTTTTTATTATAATACTAGCACCCAAGTGTATTTTCTCTTTTCTATGTCTTTCATTTTCCTACAAAACCAACAGGAACAATTCTTCCATCACCCCACCCTGGCCAATCCTGACTATTCAGAGCAGCTTCTGATACCTTTTGTTGAGGGCACATTTATTAGTAGTGCACTTTCCGTTATGCGAGGATGCCAAGGAACTCCTGTGCCCACAGTAGTTTATTTAAAGAAAAGCTCTGCCTCTATCAAGATGTCCTCCTTCACACAAACTGGAGTCCAAGGACCTGTAGCACACCTTACCGGAACTCCCAAGTGTTAATTGAGGGCGCTCGCAGTGACCGCGGATGGCGCCGCATTCAACATGGGTAAGTATAGGAACGTCACCAGCACGACAAAGACTTCGATGTCAGTGAAGTCAGGCTCAGAGTATATCAGGCTCATGTATACTCTGAGCCTGATGAAGGGAACCCTGCGCGGTCCCGAAAGTGCTTGATGACACTGAGTATTGACTGACATCAATAAATGGATTTTCACTGACATCTAAGTCTTTGTCGTGCTGGTGTGCTCGTGACGTTCTTATACTTACCTCCTTCACACAAAACAAAGCATGATCAAGGGGAATGAGGAGCTGCAGGGAGACTGCAGGTAATACTGGTTACTAGTCCTCTGCCTTCTGCCTCATCTTTTTTGGGCACAGCATCCAGATTTCAGTTATTATTAAACCCTCAGGTGTTTTTGCATATATGGCTAGCAAGCAGTAGATATATGCAAAAACTTTTTTTAAAATGTGTCTTCTCTGCGCGCTCCCGTCCGAAAAATCTCGGGCGGCCGCAAAGCATCTTGGGGCGGCGCATGCGCAGTTCAGATTTTCGGCCGGGAGACGAGGAGAGACACAAGGTAAGTCTATGGAGCAGCGTGCACCCGCATGCAGACACCATGGGACAGGAAGTGCCAGCAAGCAGAGAGGAGTCAGTGCTGGATCGGAGACCCGCAGCAGCGCTGGAGGGACAGAAGAAAATGACAGGAAAGAAGATCGGATTAAGAAACATCATTTAGGGTAAGTGCTGACATTAACATTGGGGGGGGGATGGAAAAAAAATTAGACTTTGATGTCAGTTTAAGCTTTTCCTAGAACAAACATGGGGGCTGTTATTTCTGAGCTCAGTCTGAAGATGTTAGCTGCCTGGCTGTTATACTGGTTTCAGTACTTTGAGTCACTGACACAAAGACATATGCAGATAATGAAAGCCGGAGTAAAGGTCAGAAGTCTTTTTGGGTACTGGCTCTGGGAAAATGATGGATGGTACTGAAGGTAGCAGTATGACAGTAAAACAATCAGAATGAGAAGTCAGCAATGGCATGTCACATCAGAGAAGATTTCTGTTAACCTGTTGTTAAAGAAAAAGTATTTGTTCACTGACTTCTACTTCAGCTGGATATACACCACTAGAATTTAGTTCAAGAAAATTAAATCTCAGAATGCTCTTTCGAAATTTTATCAGAGATGACGGGTTCAAATCAATAATCAATTTCGACCACGGGGACCAAAAAAAAAAGTCAAAAATGTTTCTCCAACTAACAAAATTCTGACAGTGAATGTGGTTTTCGTTTAGGAAACTCCATTCATTCCAAAATTGAAAGTGAAGTATAAATGAAAATCAAACAAAATTTCATACGACATCCGTGGAATCCCTGTCGGCATTATCGTGTATGGCCAGCTTTACCCTCTGGCTTTTAAGATCACTACCCTGGGACAAGTATGCAGATCAGGAAAGTCAGAAGTCCCTACGAACAAATTTGTTCCAGGTCAATGATGAAGATATAGCGCCAGCATTACAGCCAGGCAACTGGCTTTTTTAGATGGAGGGTTCAGAAAAAGAAGCCTCAACTTTTCTCCGATGATGGATTTCCTTTAGAGATGCATTGCCTAGTGGTAAATCTGACCCAGCTGCCAAATAACTACATAAAACACTGATGCTACCCAGCTAACAGAGTGCCAGTGGACGAAGGCATCAGACACATCTTGATTCTCTTTTCCTGAGGAAACCACTCGCAAAACCAATACAGAAACTCATTGATTTTCACTGTAATGGAAGCTGCAATGGTTTTATATTACAGGCACTATAAAGGCTTTCTTCCAAACAAAGCACAGCACTCCCAGGCTCTATAGCAGGATGGAATAGCAGACTGGGAATGTTCTAAACGCACCAGACCTTGGGACTAATGGCATGGCTAAGGCACATAATGACAAAGTAGAAGATGCATAGATATCTATGGAGAGGCATACTTTCACCACTTTATTGAGACACTCATCAGCCACCATCCTGACGTCAGACTCTGCGTCATCACTGCACAACAGGAAGAGCTCCATGGCGATCCCCAGCAACTTCTGGAACTCGGGAGAATTCCTGCAACAAACAGGAAGTAATCAATCATAGAGCTGTATGATGGGACAAGAAGAAGTGTACAACAGTGATATGAACAGCCAACACTTTGACCTTATATCCTTCCAACTTCCTACAGCACACAGTACATTCTTCTCACTTTTTAATCCGCGTAACAAAAGCCAGGAAGGAGACCACTACTGGTTAGAGAAATATAAAAATCTAAATTATTATTTCTGGGATAAATTTGCAAATTGATGAACCAACTCAAGGTCTCCACTTTCAAATATCTCATCCACGAGGGAACATGCATAGTATATTGCAATATATAAAAGACTTGTGAAATTACAAAGATCTGTCCTTATTTATTTACCATGAACCTAGTCATTAAAAATATCTAAATGCATTCGGCAAAGAGCTGCATCAATCTCCAATACTAACTGCAAGTTCATTGGACTATGAATGTAAAACATCCCACTCCTAGTCAAATATCTGCGGTGCAGCAGATACTAGAAAGCTACTATAGTAGATCTAGAGAATAGTTATACAAGCAATATAAATGTAATGAATATATAAGAGGTCTAAAGGTTATTTTTAGTGGAGTTCAGCTTATATGATTGGTCACACTTTAGTCCCCTACATGCCATAAATTTAGGGATGCTAATACCGTTTAGTAAAAAGGATTCCAAAGCCACATTAGCTGCCTATTAACTGCATGACAAGTTATATTCCTGATCCTGAGCATCAAATGCACATATTAGGCCATTTCTCAATCTTATCTATTAGAGACATTTTACAATTTGTAAATGGGTCCCAATCTTTCACTCTACCATGTAACATAGCGAGGAATGTGTCGGTGGAGCGTTGGACCTCAGATTAGAGGCAGCTCTCTGTCAACCAAGGTATCAAGACAAAATCCCTAGGAGTAGTAATAGCAATACAAAGTTTGAAAAAGTCCTGCAAAAATGTTTGTCAAGACATGTAAACCGAAAGCAAACACTTCAGACTGACTGTGCCTCAAACATTCTCCCCTGCCCATCAGTCTTGGAGATATATACTTTATGGCCAAAACGTTTGTGGGTACTTGACCATCACACCTATATGAGGTTGTTGGGCATCCCATTCAAAAACCATGTGTATTAATATGGAGTTGATTGTCCCCCCTCCCACTTTGCCCTTCTGCAAGACTTTGGGGTGTGCATATAGGAATTTGAGACAATTCATTCAAAAGGGCATTTGTGAAGTGATGGTGGATGAGAATCCCTGGCTGGCATCGGAGTTCCAGTTTATCCCAAAAGGTGTTTGGGGTTGAGGTCAGGGCTCTGTAAAAACATCTTGAGTTTCTCTAGATCAAACTCTTCAAACCTGATCATTATGGAGCTGGCTTTGTGCAAAGGGGCTCACACATGCTGGAACAGAAAAGGACCTTATCCCAAACTTACCCCAAGGCTGGAAGAGCACAATTGTCCAAATTGACTTTGTATGTTGTAGTACCAACAGCACCCTTTAACTGGAAACACCTGAAATCAATAGTTTGAAGGGGTGCCCACCTAATTTTGGCCATCTAGTTGCAGTTAAGATGAAGTGTCCACAAACTTGTACCGGCAAGTTACATTCATAGACCTTCGGCAGACAGGCAGCAGTCAGACCACTTGGGGATGTCAAGACTTATTGAATTGCTATAGTAGGGGCAGCATGAGTAACTGCTAATTTCTAGACATTTTATGTTTGTGGGCAGCCTGAGAAGTGTTACCGGATGACTGTAATACAGATGAATGTGATGCAGATAGACCAAAAACCTTTAAGTAAAAAAAAAACAAAAAACAATATTCTACATTGGGGCTACGAAATGCCTTCAGCAGAATTATTGTCCAGAGGAAAATCAGCTTTTGACTCTTTCATGCCAAATTACTTCAAATTCCCAATCAGGTCCAGGGAAATGTTCTATTGTTTACCCCCCTTAAACATGACTGGGAACTTGAAAGAAACAAATTAGGATGGGGATGACTTGTATAGTTAACTAACCCCAGTGCATCTTTTCCTCCCTATGTTACACAAAGGTGCTCATGAAAAAATGCAAAAAAGTTGATGACCAGTAGATAACCTTCCCAGCAGAAATGAAATTCTAATCTGGACAGCATAACTGATGACCTAATAACAGCCTGTGTATGACCACCCATTCTCTGCTCTGTACATTAGTAAAATATGTCATGAGGGTAGCATTAGTTAGCAAGATGCAATCTCTTCACATAGCTGTATTTAAAGGCAGATCTGGGAAACCATCCGCCGCCTGGCTGAATAAGGTGCTACAAGTGCCGAAAGATCCTGGTGGGCCAGTTCTAGGAGTACATGCAGTATGGAAAATAACTGCAAATAGAGCTGCCAGCTCACACATGTCAACACAGCCATAGTTCAAAAAGCCTCGCTATTAAACTTTCAGTACCCAGCTTCCCTCTGGTAACATTGCTTGAATCCTACACAAACAATAAAGCATTGCTGCAAAGAAATAGGATCGGATGGCCCAGCTCAGGTCACATTACATAATCATGAGGTCTGACATACATTTTAGTTGGTGGCTCACAGTGCCTCCAACTCTTTTTCCTAGAAAATTATTTATGAAGAGAGGTCTCAGGCGTAAATGCTAAAATTATTTTAGACCTGCCCAAATAAAAAAAATACAGAACCCAAAGCAGAAATGTAGGCAGATATAAAACAGTCTCATATATGTATTTTAATTCTTTATTTGTGGTGGTAGAAACACAATACAGAAACATACAGAATCAATAATCGATTATAATCGATTATGTCGATTAGTTGTTGCAGCCCTAGAACCAACAGAGGGCATCACCACTCTTGAATAGGAGTAGTCCTTAAGATAACTGGCATACTACGGTATAAGGTAAAGACGACAGCCACACATGCGTGCAAACGTCTCTATAGAACTGGACGGAAATATGCTGTGGTGCGCATGCACGCACACTCAGAAATACGCACAAAGATGCACAAACGGCAGGCGCACAGGAAGTGACACAACAGGCATTAAGGAAATTACCTATTTAAACGAGCCTGCCCTGCTCACTATACTGATGGTCTTTCAGCTGTGTGTGTTTGTTCCCTGTGACGCTGTTGAAGACTTTGCCTGTGACTCGGATTGTTTGGACTCCTCTGGATTGCTGCCTGCCCCCGACCTCGGCCTGTATCCTGGACTTCTTTATTGCCTCACGATTTTGTACCTTGCTGCCCGGCTATCCTTGACTCCGTTCCTGAATTGGCTGATCCGCTCCTGGCCTTTCCTACTCTTGTGCCTGATCTCACCTGTGGCACTCGTGCTCCTTGCTGTCCTTTCACACCCTGTTCTCACCTCCAGGGGGTGTAGGACACGAGATGTAAGAGAAGCCTCCTCAACTATCGGTCTTTCACCAGGTACGTGATACATACAGACAGACTGGTGTTGCAAATAAGATTGGGCAAGATAAATTTTACCACTTCTGAGGTGTGGCAGGGGCCCTGATACTACAGAACCTGATTGACATATTGGTGCGGGAAAGTGTGAGTGGTACTTGAGTCGGGGAAGGAGGGTGGTATGTGGGCGGGAAAGGCTTGAGGAATGGGGAGCAAGAGGAGGGAGAATGGCTCCCTGTGGGAACCCAGTGAGATACCATCAAAGCAAGTGGGTGTGCTGAAGAGGATTATGTCTCTTTACGGAAAATATCATCTTCAGTGGCTATCCCTAGGGTGACATAGGCTGTAGATACGAGGCTGTAGTCTTGAAATGTAGCCATGGCCTCCATGCAGATCTGAATTTTCTTTTGAGTTATGAAGCATGGAAGTGAGATCCTTTATTTGGCAGATCTTGGTAATACAACTCCAATATAACTTGGTTGTATGTTAATTTTAAAATGTACACAGCTGTATTTTTAAGAACTTGTGCTTACAGTGGGTCGTTATATAGACTCTTCATAAGCTCCCCATATAGCAGGATTCAGACTAGGACAGTAATGGGTGGCATTGTGAGCTAATTAGGCTTTACAACACTGCAGGGTACACAGAAGACCTGCTGATAGTAGTGGAGAGCACAAGGTTGTCCTCATCAGTCCTTTTCTGATCCTTCACTATCCAATCACAGGCCAGGGCATTTCTTGACCAAGCTGCATTGCTTGTATTTCAGTAGAGAGTAGTGAAATCAGATCCTGATTATGTTGTCCGACAAGGATATCTGGATTAGAAAATCAGCTGAACAGATTTACAAATTCTTTGGCAGGTAAGACAGGTAATATATGCCTTTCAGATATTGGTCTGCCAGCACTTCCATTTGGAATAGTTCATGATAAATATAGGCAAGTTGAATGATAAACTATTGTGAATTTCCAGTGAATACAGTCTCTGAGTTATTACGGTAACGTTTGCCTGTTTTGGTAGGCTTTGGCTAGACTTGGGCTCTAAAGTTTCAGATGTTCAGAAGACTCTGGCTTTGTGACCACTTTTAAACCTTTAGGCCATTACCATTTTTAAGGACAAGGTCAAACCTACAGATGTATAAAAATGGTGACAAAGCAGTGAGGTTTGAGGAGTAAGAGCATTGGGAAGATGGAGCAGAGGAGATTGCCAGGACAGATCCATAGAGTTTGACCTTCACGCCAAGCTGTGTCCATCACTCTCCAGCCAGAAAAAAAAATGACTTTGTGGGTTCCTGAATAACAACACATTGTTTGTACTAGGGGAAATGTAATTATGCTGGCTAGCTGAAAGCAGAACCATACCTCAGAGACTGGGCAACTATGTTCTCGCATATTGTCAGACAGTGATTCACGCGATCTTTCTTGTTCGTCGATGGATCTTTCTTCCTGCAATGAAAGAAATGAGAGAAGGTGCTTAGGCTGGATAGACATGACCTCACTTCTGGCACAAAGCTAGAGAAATCCTTCTACAGCTAGTCTGGCTATAAGAGATGACTAAACAGGCCAATGTGAAAGCTAAATCAGAAAGAACCTCGATGTAATCACAAATTAAAATATTGTTTTACTATGGGGATCAATAATTATTACTGATTAGCACTCAGCTACACAGAATTGAATTACTTTTGAGCATGCAAATAAAACCTTTGTTGGCAGGTACCTCATTTGCACTACATTGATTCAACAGCGTATCTAAACTGAAAAACAAAAAATTGAATATATTGTGTAAGCTCCTAATGCAATCATTCCCTATGTAATGGAGATGAACAAAGGCAGGCATGTTACCATAGCTCTCTCAATAGAAGCAGCGGAGGAGTCAGCGTAGCTACTCTGGTATATGACGTGTGTTATACGCAGGATCACCAGGTGATGCAAAAGAAATAAGAAGCCTGAAGAAAGAAAATGAATGCCGACAAATGCAGAGCAAGTGCTGGATGTGTGTCAGTGTGTGTGTGTGTATATATGTGCATATATGTGCGTGTGTGTGTGCATATGTGCGTGTGTGTGTGCATATGTGCGTGTGTGCTCTTGGGTATAGGGGAAGGGAACCCTCAGAATGAAGCATGGGACGCAGGAAGCGGCCATCATTCTGGGAAGGAAGATAAACGAGTTGAAAATCCCACTATGCACTGGTAGACTTTCATATGAAAAATCGTGTCAGAATATTCAATAATGACATCCCAGAAGAGTTGAATATCTGATTTTAACATTGGATTTTGAAACGATTGGAGTTTTTTTTTTTTTAAACCACTAAGGGGGTGAATGGGCATACATTGGACACCGATCACTAAGGGGGTGAATGGGCATACATTGGACACCGATCACTAAGGGGGTGAATGGGCATACATTGGACACCGATCACTAAGGGGGTGAAGGGGCATACATTGGACACCGATCACTAAGGGGGTGAATGGGCATACATTGGACACCGATCACTAAGGGGGTGAATGGACATACATTGGACACCGATCACTAAGGGGGTGAATGGGCATACATTGTACAACAATGAATAAGGGGGTGAATGGACATACATTGGACACCGATCACTAAGGGGGTGAATGGGCATACATTGGACACCGATCACTAAGGGGGTGAATGGGCATACATTGGACACCGATCACTAAGGGGGTGAATGGACATACATTGGACACCAATCACTAAGGGGGTGAATGGACATACATTGGACACCGATCACTAAGGGGGTGAATGGGCATACATTGGACACCAACCACTAAGGGGGTAAATGGGCATACATTGGACACCGATCACTAAGGGGGTGAATGGGCATACATTGGACACCGATCACTAAGGGGGTGAATGGGCATACATTGGACATCGATCACTAAGGGGGTGAATGGGCATACATTGGACATCGATCACTAAGGGGGTGAATGGGCATACATTGGACATCGATCACTAAGGGGGTGAATGGGCATACATTGGACATCGATCACTAAGGGGGTGAATGGGCATACATTGGACACTGATCACTAAGGGGGTGAATGGGCATACATTGGACACCGATCACTAAGGGGGGGAATGGGCATACATTGGACACCGATCACTAAGGGGGTGAATAGGCATACATTGGACACTGATCACTAAGGTGGTGAATGGGCATACATTGGACACCGATCACTAAGGGGGTGAATGGACATACCCTGGACACTGCTGGTGAGAGTACCGGGGAGTAAGCTCTGTGTACTGGAGGGCACACATCACTAGTTACATTGGGAAGGGAGGTATATGTTTGATGGAATGAAGATCTGATTAGTGAAATGTTAGTGTTTGGAGTTCAGTAATTGTGTGCTGGGGGTCATTACTGTACAGAGACCATGTTGTGAAGACGTACCAGTATTTCGCCTGAGGAGCATGCTCCCTTCAGCTAAATTCACTGCTGAAGGCAGAATCCTCCAGCAATGAAACAAGACAACACAATCTCCTGGAGCCTTTTAATACTACATAGCAAAGATGAATAAAATCTACTTAAAAAATCTGGACTGAGTGCTGTGATGAATTAGAAAATACTTTGATATACAAGTCCCAGCGTGGTTTTTTTTTCTTTTTTTTTGGTCAGTGTATACCGGCCACGAAACTATAAAAGACACCAAGGTCCAAAATAAAGTGTATGGCACAGGCTGTATGAAGAATGAATGACAGCACACAATGTCATTTGTACTCCACCCGACAGATGTAAGCTGCCTAGAAAGATATCCTGGACTAACCCCGCTCATTGTAGAGAAGCTTATAGTGAAGTTCAGGTCTATCTGGTGGATGTGTTTCCAGTAATCTGGATTAGCAGGTACTTACTATCCGGCACTGTACACAATAGTTTGCAGGGTCATGATAAAATTAGGTAAACAGCTCTAGCTAGGTACAGATATCAGGTCACACATTTGAAAGTAATTGTACATAATGGTTCACCTTACACAAAAATAAAAATCACACCAGCATTCAGCTCTGCATGCTGATATCAAATGATCTTACATTAGTTAAACATTTTTTTTTTCCTTTTACTTACAATGACCGTTTTTCTACTTGCTGGTCCTCTTAGGCATTAGTGATGTAGTCCATGCCTAAGAGATGCATCCTGGGAAGGTTACATCACAGTGCATTGCTGGGAAATCTCATGAGATATCAGGGAAAGGCATTTTCCTTCCCTGAGATGATGTGCATGGTCACATGTCCTAGTCACATCTGCCAGAGTTCCAGGAAGTTAAGGGAAATGGATTAATCTGTGCTTAGTAAAAAATGGCCCCCGTGAGAATAGGGAGGAAAATAAAAATAGGGAGGAAAAATAAAAATAAGATATGCAAAGAATAAAAAGCTGGCAGTTATCTCTAAATAAAGTTTTTTTTAAAATTGACATGACTAAATATCTCTAAAAGTGTCTTTGTTGTCATGTTAAGGATAAGGGTGAAACTCCTCTTTAACCCTGGAGACAGCACCTTGGTGAACCCCCAAGGTGTAGAAGAGGAGGGTGAAGAGAAGGATCAAGAGCTAGTAGTATAGGGGCTTCAACGCAAAGAGTAAGCACCGCTAATGGGCTGGAAAGATGGGCACATTGTTCATTCATCCAGACCCTTTGGACATGAATGTAAACCTTTCAGAGCATTGACATTCAAGATGGGGAGAATGTTCCCTTTCAGTTTGGGACTTGGTATAGTAAGCACCTTATTAAGGTGAGACAAGCCCAGGTGACAGAAAGGGAACAGACCACTTCTGAACAAAATCCCCACAAATTAGATAGCAGGCTGTTTGTGGAAGCAAGCAAGGGGTGCATTCAATCTCCATATAGTAAATGTTGGAAACAAGGGTGCAAAAGAAAAAAAAGTCTATGCAGGTTTAAATCATGCAAGACTGGACACAGTAGTGGTAGAAGCAACTTGCTGATCCTTCAGCTTCATAAAAAGGTGTGCACTGCATCAATAGGAGCCAAAACAGTCTTCTTTAAGTTAGGAGATGCCAGAATCATCAGTGAGTGCTGCAAGCAGCCCCAAAACTGTTAGTAAGTGAGCTGGGGGCACCTGGTACAGAGTGTCTGTCCTGTGTCTAAATAAGGCATGTTGTGGCTGTGGTACATTATGGCAAGGGGAAGGCTTAGGGTAAGAGGCAAGGCCTCAAGAACTCATAAAACCCAGACAGCTGGTAGCAGGTGTGGAACGGATGGTCAGAGGGGAGCAAAGTCATTGTGGACAGCAGGAACACAATTTCATTTAATGAAAAAAATATCCGGCCAACTAATCGATTATGAAAATAATGATTATTTGTAGCCCTACGGGCAAGTATTTGTTCTTAGTCCAAATCCCAAGTGACAGAAGACTATACATATCCAGTGACTTACAAAGTGCAAAGAGCAATGATGATGTGTAGAAAGCAGTAACCTGTAACAACTGGAGTTCATTTTACTGCGCTCACACAAGAGGACGCGGGTTGAACCCTTCCCTACCCCATCCAAAACACAAAATATGTCTGGCTATACATACACACTAATAAATAATCCTACCGACGTTCTTCTGGGGCTGCCTCCAAGACACATAAAACACTAAAAGGACACACACTACAATTACGGCCTAATAAATGGAATAGACTTCAAAGTGTGAGGAGATTTATTATGACTTTATACACACAACAAATTATTGACTTGTCATCTGTACAACCAGAAAGAGAATTACACCATACAATACAGAGTCATGCAACAATCTCACATCCAAATAATTGCAAGAAATCATCTCAGGAGACCAGCGCTGAATACAAAATCCACCAGCAAGCAGAATCCAGTTCCTTGTCTTCTCTGCCAAATTGAAGCATTTTTCCGTTGTTCTTGGATTCAGTAACTGTAGTAACACTAGTCTAAAACCGGTCACTATGGGCTGCGTGGCATTGAAGAAGAACTCCGGGCAAAACTTTGATTAACTCTTGCAGTGGGGCTACCTCCGCACTGCAAGGGTTAATTGCTCATTTTCGTCTAGGTGCTAAACAAAAAAAAAGTTACTCACCCGATCTTTGGAGACGGCTTCCCCTTAGAACAGTCCCTGGAGCCCCTCTCCCCCTCTGCTGCAACGGGCTAAAGATCCTTAGGCCATGTTCTATACACAGTGTATTGAATCTGAGGACACCATTGCTGCAGCATAAGGGGAGGCAGGCAGGAGGGAGGGAGCGCTGTGACAGCCGGCTGAGGATAACTTTTCTTTTTTACCAACTAGGCCCTAGAGGGGGCAGTCCCACTGCAAGGGTTAATACGGGTTTTGACCTTCTTTATAGCAGCCTATTAATTTGAATGGGCTGTCAAATGCACCACAACGGACCTAAAAATCATACCTGCTGCATAACTTGTATCGTGAACCAGTGAACCGAAGCGGTAGTGCATTACCCTTTATTGGAGTGCA